CTTTAGAGTGATGATTTCTGATGGGATGTTCTTAGTTAAATGTGGAGGTGGTGCTCAGGCGTTTCCTCTGTGTGTTCTGTTAATCATAAACTTTAGACCTCATTAAACTGCTTTTTATTGTATCATGGCAATTAAATTGTATACAACAAGTCATATTGAAAAATGTCCATATAGTGTTCAGTTCATAATAAAAAGTTTTCGTTTATAGGCATGATAGTGAGTTGTCATTGGTGTGTAGTAGTCATCAATAGGCATGGGCTGGTATACGATTGTGACTGTATGATAACCTTGGATAAAAATATCATGGTTTCATGGTATCCTGGTATTGTGCTCACTGCTCTAAAATATATTCTTTTTTAAATGTCTGGGAACAATATATATATATATATATATATATATATATATATATATATATATATATATATATATATATATATATATATATTTGTAAAAATTTTAAATATTTTTTTGAAAGATTTTAAATATTTTGGAGCAGTAAACATGGAAGTCTAAATAATTCAAATGAATCATTGACTTCTGCTGTCTTCATTAGTCATTCTGCTGTCTTCATTGGGAAGGGAATTACAGAGAATTTTGGCAGTTTTAAAGCCTTTACTTTTCCAAACCGCGGTATACTTTGAAAACGGCTATCGTCCCATGCCTAGTCAACAGCACTTAATGTCATGGATTGTATTTCATCATTTCTTGCATGACAATTAGGGTTGTGACGGTGAGGAAATTTCCCCACCGGTTAATCGACACGTGACAACACCGGTAATACCGGTATCACTGTGGGAGTGGGCGTTTCTTCATTTCCACTTTTTTCTGCTTTTAAATAGCTTATAAATGCGTGCGTATAAATATGATCCTTGCATAATGATCACAACTAAACAAGCGAGCACTCATTTTATATATAAACTATATACAAAAAAAATTTTAAGAATTGGAACATTATGTAAAAAATCTAAAGACTACTGGCTAAATAAAAGCGCCTCGTCAGAGCTAAACATCACCGCATGTGTCAGTTTACAGCTTCTGGAAAGATCAGACAACCTATACAGATCACACAATCTCAATATACAACATGTAAATAAATATTTAGATAAGTATTGTTATAGAATATTTATAACTATATGATCTTGCTTTTTGGTTTTATCGATACAGCTTTGATCTCTCTTACAAGTGGTTGTTACAGGCGCAGCATAAGGGAGTCTCACACTGTCAGTGGCGGAATACACACAGCACTGGCAAGACGTTTTATTTTTATTTTATTTGTTGCAGATTTGCGCGTTGTTCCTTTTAAAAAATACCTTTTATTTTTTAAATCTCTCAAGTTAATGTTGTCTATAATCGAGTAACTATCGAGTCCCTCGGATTGGAGTTCAGTGCGCAGTAAGACTATTGACCAACCGCCCTGTAAGTTTAAACACTACAGGTCCACAGCTCTGGTGTGGTATGAATTACATGTTTAAAATGACAGCGAGACATGCTACGTTTAGTTTTTATTGTAAAATATACATTATAACCCAGTACACAGTAAAATATGTTTTGAATGGCTTGTCTATTGACGGCGTATATAGCCATTAATTAAATAGACTGAGCATATTTTCATTAATATTAAAACACATTAATACAAATTAGCCAACCTTTGATTTTTTTCTGTTTACGTATATTTTTATCAAACGAAAAATGCAATGAATTGTTAATTTTAATTTTAATTTTATTAGAATTAATAGGCCTATAATTTATAGGCTACACAACTCATATCTTTGGCTCCAATTGCGTTTTTACAGATATCCTAGCAATAGACTTTTTTTTTTGGCTCAAAGACATTTATGCCTTTTAATTTCAGTGGTGTATTTTGACAGATTTCGTAAAGGCTTCAGCTATTCTACCTGTCAGCTGCACCTGCCTAAGTTTGCAACTTGACTTGTGTTGCGGCTCGATGTCTGAATGAGAGAGAGAGAGAGAGAGAGAGAGAGAGAGAGAGAGAGAGAGAGAGAGAGAAAAATCAGTCCTCAGATTCGATGTGTGGCCACACGTCTCAGTTACTTTATTGCAATTTTTAATATTGGCTCATCTAAATAAACTTTTCATATATTAAAAGCTGAAATATTGCCAGACAGAAGAAGCAACTTTCGGTTTTTGAAGAGAGCGTCCTCAGTTATAAAAGATGCGCTCTTGTCAGCCTATTCATTATGGATTTTTTTGACATTAAACACATAATCAAGTGGAAAAAAGAACAGCTGAACTTCGGAAAAAGTGCTCACGTTGCCACAATGTTTCTCTGAAGTTGGATTGTCAATGGCGCGGCATTGCTAAATCACTCGTTTTAATAATAAAAAAGAAAGATATTTATTATTAAACATTGTGAGATGATGGTCGAGTGATTTTTTAAAAATGTGAGTATGCGTTGCGTATTTATGGCCATTGATCTATCCGCAACCCACCCATAGTTAAACATAAGGTGCGTGTATAAATAAGTTATGTTTCCAGATACTGCCACCTTTGTCAGGCAAAGTTTGCAGATTGCCTCATTAACGTCTTCAGGTCCTCTTATGCATTTGGTTTGAACCCAAAATATAGCCAAACAGGCGCTTTTGCATTGCGTTTTGACAATAAATCGTCCTCCATCCTCTTTCTGTAAATTCCACTCCTCTTTTCTCCTCCCGTGGTAAATGAAATATGATGCACTGTAGCTATGTATATATTTTAATTATAGAGCATGCTCTCGTTTTAAGTCAATTATTTATAATTATATTTTCCATTTATTTCAAATAAATGTTTAAAAGAAAATAAACGAATACTTAAAAAAAACAAATGTGGGGACGGTGTCACGGTGGAAAAGTGATGTCACCGGTGTTGCGTCTTAACACCGGTATCACCGTCAACACCGTCTATCGTGGCAAGCCTAATGACAATTGGTTTGAGTCTGTATGCACTAGGCAAGGGCTGATATAAGATTCTAGCGGCATGATAATCTTGGATAAAAATATCATGATATTGTGATTACTGCTAGGGCTGTGCAATTAATCGAAAATCCGATTTCGATTTTGCTTTCTAATAATTATGAAAAACCAATAATCAAGATAAACGATTATTGCATCATTTACTGCCCCCTTTCCAGTTGTACACGTTGCTCTTAAAAGAGTGAATTATTAGGTTGGCTAATAATTCTGATTCTGATTTTGGAACATTGACCATGATATTTACATAATTTGTTTTTTGACGTTCCACTTATTGTAGTTTTATTATTAATTCACAGGTTGAAATTTTCAAACTAGGTTTGATGTAACAATCAGAAGTATTTTTCTTGAGTTGTCAATGCAAGCACCTAGCATGATTCATTGCTAAATCTGCACTGGCACAAGGTTTTATATGTGCCTCTTGCTCTGTTCTGAACTCATAAGTATGTCTGTATTTGAAGTTAGGGTTGTAACAATATACCGGTATGACGGTTTACCACGATTTGAACGTGCACGATTATCATACCATGAACAATTGCATATCAACGGTTTTAACCCTTAAAGACCGAGACAGCCGCCTGCGGCTAAAAATAAGTATTGCTCTTAAATGTTTAATAACTTTTGATCCGCTGATCCGATTCATAGAATTCAAAGATTGGCATAAAGAAGAGAATCTCAGCTTTCCAGTGCTGTATTACATAACATTCGGACTTTCAGAGGCTCTGGAATCAGTGCGGTTACGTCATCAACATTTGACAACGCTGATTTGACAAAGAAACGCTCGTCACTGTGTCTCCGGACAAATCAGACATGATACATTGATGCATTGTCCCTCCTCCATGCCCAGATTGGTTCAAACTCGCTATATCACAACAAATAAGCATAGGTTTCGCTTTTGTTTGTGGACCAAGCTTTTTGAACAACACGGAATGAGAGATAGGCATACATTTATGCGCGGCTAAATAAAACGCAAAAAAAAAAAAGTTTTGCATGAAATAATTCTCATACTAAGTACTTTTGCATGCACAGCAGCACAGAAACATGACAAAACAGTGACACAGCAAAGACGAACTGCTGCTCTTGCTGTTTTCAAAAGACGCAAATGAAGATGCAGCTGTTTGTCTGCATTGCAGACAACCATATCCATATCCATATCGATAGACAACCATATCCATGCTGGCACATAAAACCTAAGGATGTTCCATATTGAATCTAGTTTCGTTATGTAACTATTTATAGTATAGTAAATATTTATATCTATTTTTTACTGAGGATTTGCACCATGTTTATTTGGACTTTATTTGGACTTTATTTGGACTATATTGGATTATTTATTATTTTCTTATTTTTATTTGTTCATTGTAAGTGGTGTTGTTTATAGTAACTAAAAATATATTATTTGGAAAAAGTCAAATTTGCTTCACTGTTCTATTATTTTGTAACATTTGTAACATACCGTATACCGCAAAACCGTCAAACCGTGGTATTGTTTTAGACGATTATCATACCGTGAAAAATTCATATCGTTACAACCCTATTTGAAGTAAAGAGCAGCCAGGGTTATTGTAGGAGGCATTATAATTTCTGGAGGATTATCGACATGTTTTTGTTACATCAACGAGGATGACTGTGCAGAAGACACAGATGGACTCCCAGGCGGATCGTTTCTCAATGTGAAAGCAACACCACTTTATAGCTAATGCCTGGAGACCAGTGACACAACCGTCTGTCTGTGTGTTTGATTTCCAGAGATTCACATTCTTGAAAGTGTGTGTCATGATGGAGCAGCCTGATGAACTCTGTTTTTCTGATCCTGATCAAACATAATTCTTTCTTAGATTGCTCCTAATATACTCTCATCCATCCCGTCTAATTAGTATAGGTTTCAGTTCCCACTGGAGTCATGTTGTTTCTAGACAGCAGAAAAACAAACTCCATGGCTCCATATAAAATGATGATTTAGCACACATAGCTGGATGCTGCTTTGTTTTCCCTCATGTTCATGCTGTGACAATTGTGTGTGTTTTTTTCCAGGATGTCGTTGTACCCATCGCTAGAGGACCTTAAAGTGGACAAGGTCATTAGGGTAAGCAGCATTGTTTTATTAAAATATAATTGTAGAAAAATGGTTTTAGCTTATTTTTTTAGTCATGTTCTGTACATTGTTGTTTTTCTTGTTCTAAACAGAATTACATTTTTATCTAGTTTTCATTTGTATTTCAATTTTAGGCTTTATAGTTTTCAGTTAGTAATGGTAGCAACTTTCTTATAGCTTCAGATGATTAACATTTATATGATTTGTTATTTTAAGTATGCAAAGCAAAAAATAAAAGATTGTAAATAAGCATGTAAGGGTCTGAGCAAATACAGATTTCAAAACAACTTTAAATTCTCTATCTGTTTTGGTCCTACAGATAAGATTGATTCAATAACAGTGAATAAACTAAAATCAAACGATTCTAGGATGCAGTGCCCACGTATATTCCATAATCAGCTCTTTTGCATTTTGCAATTCTGTGTATTGCCTTTTTGTGCTTTTTATTTATTAAAAGAGTAAAATACAAAAGTACAGTATTTTCTGTTGCTGTATTGACAGGAGATTCTGAGCTCATTGTTCCTGTTTGTCCTTTAATGATAGTTATTTGGATTTTATAAGAAAATGTATTCTGTTGAACTGAATTAGAATAACAATTAGAATAATCTGTCCATTTTTTAAAACATAAAGTGTGATAGTTTTATCTGAGTATTACATTCATTAAAAAGTGTGTGGAGGAAGGCTTAGAGATTTTTACTTTTTTTTTTTTTGTCAGTTTTCCTGACAAATGTCAAATAAAACACCAAAAGAAGAATATCTTAAAGTGTGTAGCTCACTACTACTGTATTAGCAATTTAACGGATCATCGCATCGTAACAAAACTTAGTAATACAAGTGAAACTACGTTGTTAATGTATGAATTTTCTAAAATAAATTTTGATATTACATTTATTGAAATTAAGAAGTCTAATATCAACACAAATATTATCAAATATACAGCAATTTTAAAATGAGACATTTTCAGTTCAATTTTCTAGACGTGTACAGTTGAAGACAAAAATGTTAGCCCTCCTGTAAAATGAATTATTTTCAAATATTTCTCAAGTTGTTTAACAGAGAACACTTTTTTCAACATTTTTAATCATATAAGTTTTAATAACTAATTTTGTCTTTGCCTTAAAGTCTGTGTACTATTTTACTAGCAGTTTTGCAATATAAAGACTTAATTAGGTTAATTAATTTAATGAGGCAAGTTAGATTAATTAGCCAATTCACTGAACAAGTGACTTTTGTTTTGTAGCCAACTTTTTTGAGACTGATAATATTGACCTTAGCAGTTTTTACATTTTAAAATATGTATATTTAATTTTAACCCAACTAAAAGAAATGAAAACTTTCTCCAGAAAGATAAATATAATAAGAAATGCTGTCCTAGCTCTGTTAAACATCACTTATGCTTGAAAAATAATTCAAAGGAAGATTAATCTTCAACTTCTGCCCACTGTTTTTAATTCAGTGCAGAAAGATCAATTTTTAGATACCTGGTATTATGCTGATGTAGCCTGATTATGGCCCTTTAAAACAACCGTTATTAGATTATAGTGGATGTTAACATGTGATTTGCTCTTCTAGGCACAATCCCAGTTTGCTAATGCCACTTCCAGCACTCCAGCCATCACTCAGGGTGCTTACCAGCCACAGCCTGCCACACAGGGGATGCCAAGCTCAAGTGAGTCCTGCGGCCCTGCCTATCTGTCTACCTTCAAAGCCTCTTACTCTCGTCTTTCTTCCCTCTCCTTATCATGCCATTCTCCCTTTCATTTCTGGAGAGCAGAGTGAGAGCTGTTTTTATACAGATCAAAGGCTTGCCAATGTTTTGTGTGATTATCAAACAGGAAATGAAGACATGCCTTAGGGCAGTGTTTCTCAAACTTTTTTCCCCAAGTACCACCTCAGAAAAAGTAGTCTCTCCAAGTACAACCATAATGACAGATATTGAAATACATAGTAGGCCTAATTATGCGGCTACAGCACTGCACAGTTCACAAACACGGCAGATTATTCTTATTATTATGAATACTTATTATTGTCAGCCACTTTAAATAATAAATAGTTTGAACAGTAACACACTTACAACTAAAATAAGATAAATAAAACGTCAATGTTTAAATTACAATGTGATTTTAAAAGTTAATTAAAAATGGCGTTGTTCCTAAAAAATTTAAAGAAAACTGCTGTACTTAAATGTAAAGTATTTTCATAAAGTAGCCTATTCATAAAAACCTGCTAATGTTTCTTGGACCTCATAAATATAGGTTATAACGTCATATTGTCATTCATATATAACTCTGTCTGATAAATTTTGAAATATGTTGCATGTAGTTATGACTTATTTGTATATCTTTGAATCTAAATGTTAACTTGTATTTTAAATATATGAATTGGATTTACATATTTAAATTAGAAATTAGGAGTTTGTAAGTTCTCCCTGCATTCACGTGGGTTTCCTCCAGGTGGTCTGGTTTTTCCCACAGTCCAAAGACATGCAGTACAGGGGAATTGGGTAGGCTAAATTGTCTGTAGTGTATGAGTGTGTGTGTGTGTGAATGAGTGTGTGGATGTTTCCCAGGGGTGGGTTGCGGCTGGAAGGGCATCTGCTGCGTAAAAACGTGCTGTATAAGTTGACAGTTCATTCTGCTGTGGCGACCTCGGATTAATAAAGGGACTAAGCCGACAAGAAAATGAATAAATGAATCAGATATTAGATCTGCTTACTGCTCGTTAGATTAGGCTATGTGTGTCAGAGAAGCAAGTGATTAAACTATACATGTCAACATTGGGATATAAACATATGAGATACGCCCCCAACAACTGTTACAAGTATGGGGAGGAAAACAACCTCAAATGATAGAATACATAACAAACATTAGGGCTGCTCGATTTTGGGAAAAATCATAATCACAATTATTTAGGTCATAATTGTAATCACGATTATTTAAACCGATTATCAGTTGAAGTCAAAACTATTAGCGCTCCTGAGAAATAAAAAAAAACAAAAATTCCCAAATGATGTTTAACAGAGCAAGGAATTTTAACAGTATTTCCTATAATATTTTTCTTCTACGATTATTTGTTTTATTTTAGCTAGAATAAAAGCAGGTTTAAATATTTTGAAACCCATTTTAAGGTCAATATTATTAATATATGTTAATATATATATATATATCTTTTGATTGTCTGCAGAAGAAACTACTGTTATACAATGACTTGCCTAATTACTCTAATTAAGCCTTTGAATTGCAGTTTAATCTGAATGCTTGTATTTTGAAAAATATCTAGTCAAATATTATTTACTTTCATCATAGCAAAGATAAAAGAAATCAGTAATTAGAAAGGAGTTATCAAAACTATTATGTTCAGAAATAAGTAAAAAATAATTATTTCCATTAAACAGAAATTGGGCAGGAAAAGGGTTGCTAATATTTAGGAGGGCTAATAATTCTGACTTAAATTGTATCTATACAGTTATTTTCCACCCTGCAAAGGAAAGAGAAATACAATAAAATAAAATATGAAACAAACTGCTTTAAGCATCTTAACTGTAACAAAAGTCCTTCAGTCAAGAGCAGTGAGGGGTTTTCTCGTTTTGTTTGATTAATGATAAAAACAGGCAGCAGCAGGAACATCACACCGTCTCTTTAATGGTTTCTCTTTCACGTTTCTGTTGATCATCAACTCGTATGTTTATTACACAAATGAGGGTTAATATGAATAATCACTAAACACCGCGTTTTGACACCTATTTGTTTAGCCTATTAAAATCAATTTCCTGATCACATCGATGTTATCATACACATCAAAAGGGTTGAAAGTGTGTTCATTTTTTTACTTGAATTATTCAGTGATTTCTCCACGTACCACTAGAAGGAAGCCTGCGTACCACTTGTAGTACATGTACCACAGTTTGAGAACCACTGCCTAAGGGAATCTGGGAGCTATTCAATCAAAGGGCAACAACAGCCTTCCCTACTTTTTTTTTGGACTTGTCTTATCTGTTCTGTCATTGTGTCTCCTAAGTGAGGCCTCTCAGCACACTGCCAGATTATTACATAACGATGCTTAAAAATTAAGAAAAAAAACAAGAATTTTTTAAAGTGGCTGTTTAAACATTCTCGGGTTGTCTCAGTAATGGTGAATGTTTAGCCTGATCCTATAGGTCATATTTTTTATATATTTTATACTTTAGTATAAGTATCAATTCTTACTATTATCTAGTGCAGGGGTTCCCAAACATTTTAGCCTGTGACCCACAAAATAATAATGGCAGTGACTTGCAACCCTCAAATTCCTTGTAGGTGGTTAAAATATACAAATGTTGCGCACACAACAATAGGCTTATATAAACACAAGCATATTGACAACACAAAAAAGTACAACAGTCTAACAACTATATCATTTTTATAGTCATTTATTGATTAATTTAATACTAACATGAGCTAAAGAGACTGGTGGACACAATGTTTACAGCACAAGTCTACTCTTGGTTTAATTTTGGAGACCACCAATCAGAGATCATTGTCAATGTTTAGTTGTGGCTGTATTTATTTTTAATGAATTTGATTGGCATAAAGGTGTCAAAGTTTATCTGGTGCCATGAAATTATTTTGCTGCATCTGACACTATTGCTGTGTTGTTAATAACGTTAAAACACCAATCCAATGAAAAAAAAATTAAAAGGCTGATGGCTTTTCATTTGCATATTGTTGTTCTTCATGTAACTAGTAACTACTATTTTTATCTTCTGTGGGTTATAGGTAAAATAGGGTAATTCCAATAGTTAAATTTATTTGACTTTTGTAAATCACCAAGCGACCCCTTGACATTGTCCCGCGACAACCCCCACTTTGGAAACCACTCATCTAGTGGCTTATTACCTGCCTATTATTAAGACACTGTCTGTTTATTAGTGCTTATACAGTACATATCCTGCATGATTGTGCTCTACATCCCTAATCCTACCATAAATGTAAACCCAGCTACTAGCTTAATAACTATTAATAAGCAGCAAATGAGGATTTTTTTTTTTTTTTGTGGCAAAAGTTGTAGATAATTGTTTATTATTAGCCAGAGTCAAACCTTAAAATAAAGTGGAACCTGAAATGTTTCCAGCAGCTATTATTTCAGTCCGCATTCAACACCCTTAACTTACTCCAAAACCTTTATGAGTTTCTTTATTCTGTAGAACATTCTAGTAGGTGTTTTGAAGAAAGCTGAAGACCTGTAACCATTCATGATAGGAAAAACAAATACTATAGAAATCAGGTTACAGGTTTCTAGCTTTTTTCAAAATATCTTTTGTTTTGGAACAAGGGTGCTTAAATCATGACAGAATTTTCAGATATGAATGAACTATCCCTTTAATAGGATTTCTATGGATATGAATTTATTTTTATAAATGTTAGATTATGTGAGCATAATGGCTGGCTAATGTGTTTTTGTGTAGGAGCACGTTTCAAAGGCAGACATTTTTCAATCTTAGTGCAATGAAAAGCAGCAGGAAGAGGGGCGAACACTGTAACCATGACTCAACCCAGGAAATAATTACTAGATGGAAACATTCATGGCCAGAATCTAAAACCAGCGACTGTAGGACGATTGAGTGTCGGCACTTGAACTTGCTGTTCTTTCCCGTTTTCTATTTTTTTTTTCCTTTCTGTTCTGCTTTTGCAGTTGCTCAATGTTGTCACAAAACACTCTGATTTAAAAGAAAACCTCTGATTTTAAAACAAAAAGTAAACAAAAATGTCCAAATATGAAAAAAGAATACTTTACCCAATTCTCTCACTGTTTACTTACCTTTCACTGGTTGCAATTTAAATCATTTGAATTTCTCTCCTTTGTTGAACACAAAAGAAGATATTTTAAAGAATGTTGTAACTTGGTAGCCGTTGACTTCCAAAGTACATTTATTCTTACTATTGAGGTCAATGGCTTCAAATTTCCACATTCTTCAAAATATTTTCTTAAAAAAACAGAAGCAAAAAAAAAAAAAAACAATTAGAGGGTGAATAAATTTTCATTTTTTGATCTCCTTTAGAAAAGGTTGATAGCTAATCATCAGGGGTGGAAAGCGTACAGAAAAATCATACTTAAGTTAAAGTACTATTACTTGACTAAAAATGTAGTGCAAGTGGAGTAAAAGTATCTGTTGTAAATATTACACAAAGTATATGTCGCTTTTAAAAAAAGAAATTATATATATATATATATATATATATATATATATATATATATATATATATATATATATATATATATATATATATATTTATTTATTTATTTATTTATTTATAATTTTATAAATAAATATATATATAACACCATCATGCTTTCTCCTTTTTTTTCATCCAGCTCTATACCCCAATCTGGAGGAGCTGGGAGACTACATGGGACTCAGTCTGAACAGCGATGAGGTCCAGAGAAACCTTGCACTGGTCCCAGTGGCTACTGTAAGTTCATGCATGCTTCTGTAGCATTACTAAGGACCTACTCACTCTATGTTATCCGAACTGTGCCCAGGCCCTTTCCCAGATTGTTTGAGAAGTACGAATGCTCAGGCATTCATTCATGTTCGGCATTCATTCATGTTTGATAGGCCGGCCCTGGCCTGGTTGGAAGAGATGTGTCAGAGCGCGGCTCACTTGGGTTTTGGCTCAGTACGCTTATAGCAGGGCTCAAAATTGTGACCATTTTGGTCGCATATGCGCCCAAAATTTTATCTATGCGACCTCAAAATATATTTGGGAGCATATGTGCAAGTGCATAAAATTGTTGAGTGTGACCAGTTTTTACTGCACATGCGCGGATTTGGGAGACATTCACACAGAATGCATCTTTGCTCTTGAAACGCGAAACGCAGCGTTCAGGAATGGTTTTAAACAGTTGTCAACTTGCTGCAGTAAACAAAGTCCGTAGGAGTCCGTTATGCTTGCCCCGCCTTCGCGCTCTTCTTATTGGCCCACCACTGCTCTAGCACTGAAATATCAGCTGTCAATCACTCAGTCAATGCCTTCTGGCTTGGGATGACAGAGAGAGCTGTTACCGCGAAAAATTGTAAAGCGCTGAAGATGAAAATAAAGGTAACATTGACAGATTTTGTTTTAGAAACCATGGCATCTAAAGTTACAAATAATGACACATCTTACTAGTTATCATGTGCTGAATGTTAATCCACCATCTACACTTTTCGAAGAGTGGATAAAAGACTTCCGTTGGCTTCAAGTCCGCTATGAAAAGTCTGTGGGATGGAATTTTCAGGTAACTGTTTGCCACATCTAGCACGCAAGCTTCAGTTTAATCCTTCATATAATCGGCAGATGCTGTCCGCCGTGCAAGTGGCAGCTATATGTCAAATTGAACGCCACATAGACCAGGGGTGTCAAACTCAATTCCTGGAGGGCCGAAGCCCTGCACAATTTAGTTCCAACCCTGCTCCAACACGCTTACCTGTAGGTTTCAAACAAGCCTGAAGGACTCAATTAGTTTGATCAGGTGTGTTTAATTAGGGTTGGAACTAAACTTTGCAGAATGGTGCCATTTTGGTGTAAACTGTGCAGGAACCATTTTGGTGTAAACTGTGCAGCTTTTGGAACTGAGTTTGACACCTGTGACAAAGACCATCGCAAACAGGCTTGCACTGAGTAAACTAATATCGCAACTCATGAATAGACCCTTATTGCTATTAACACAACATATGCATATAATAAGGTACAATAAATGTTAAAAACATCAGTGCAATATCAGACAGCACCCGTGAGAACAGCAGTTATACCGTTAACAGACTCATTCATGTCAAGCAGTACGTGCAGTGCCGGTGAGCGGTTTGTCTATCTTTTGGTCACTCAGTTTTGTTATAAAACTGTATTTTCTTGTGATAACGGGATTTTGTTGAGACATATTTTCCTCACGCTTGCATATATATATTTTTGCTTGTTAGTTTGATTACTGTTGATTTCAAATGCAATAAATATGTTTGTATAAATTTGTAGTAACGGTGCTTATAATTGGTGGGTGCGACTGACTTTTGGCTGATGCGCCTAAATTTTTTAAGTTAGTAGCACTAGTGCTACCAAGCAAAAAGGTTCATTTAGAGCCCTGTATTGTGTGAGTGCAAAATGCATCTAAGCCCGAAACTGAAGACGAGACGAGACGTGACTTTTACGGGACTGTTTCATATGGCTTTATTAATCATTCTTACTGTTTAATGAACGCAAACTGTCGAGATTATCAAAGAGGCAAACCCCTCATTGCATGACAACTGCACCTACAGCAATCCTCCTAATTCCTGCAGCAAGAGGACTTTATGATTTTGTATGAGCGTCAAAAGTGGCTGATGTGTTCAGCAAAATATTTGACTGCATATCAAACGACTAAATGACTAAGCGACTAACAGTAAAAAAATCTCCACTGTGCTGAGTGAGAGCGCTTCCCTACTGAACAGCGCATTATCGATGTCGCAAGCGTGCCCAGGCCTGAATGTAATGTGAGTGCGGGCCGTCGGGGGAGACAAGCTTGCTTTGGCCCGGTTCAAGGGAACTGTACATAGTGTGAGTACGCCCTCACAGTACTTAATCCCATTTATATCAAAGTTGATATTTAGCCGCACCATTTTGGTGTTTCATAGTATCTAATTTTTATTAGCTCAACGCTCAATCCCCAACCTGGAGGTCCAGGATATACACATATGCACTACAGAGAGTTTAGCTTACCCAATTCACCTATACTGCATGTCTTTGCACTGTAAGGGAAACAGGACCACCTAGAGGAAACCCATGCGAACACTGGGAGAGCATGCAAACTCCCCACTGAAATACCAACTGACTCAGTCCGGGGCTCAAATCAGCGACCTTCTTGCTGTGATGTGACAGTGCTACACACTGCACCACTGTACTGCTCGTCTGTAGCATTAGCACTGGATAAATGTGTGTTTATGAAGCACAAAGGCTTGATTGTCATTAAACGCACAGCTTTGTTTATAGAGTTCAGTTTGTGAGGTTAGATTTCTCTTCCTTGTTCCAAAGAATTACCACTGAAAAAAATGTTAAATATATGCAAACAATGACATTTATAGTCTCTCATGCTGTCCTTACAGTGCTGTTAGTCTTCCTTGGTTCAGTTTGTTTTTACGGTCACTGCATTTATACTGTATTTTCCTTGTTTAAGCAGCCAAGAGTAATTGTGTAAGCCTTTGGAAAAGAGGAGGCGGTGGTTGTGTATGTGTGTTAGCATCTGTCCATTTGGGATTTTTTTGTGTGTGATTTTTCTCTGAATAGTTCAAGTTAGCCACAGGGTGTCTTAGCATAACCCATAATTCTTCTCTGCATCATTACTGGAAGCAGAGCTCAGGAGTGACTCATGCACCATAAGGTCTGTGTTGGAGTGTTGCTAATGTAGGCTGCTTTCTGAGAACGTCTTAAAAAGATGCTCAGTGTTCAAGGTGCTAAACATTAGAGCAGAGTCTCTCTGTTTTTTTTTTGTTTTTTTTTGTTTTGTTTTAGGACTCTTTACAGGAGTCACAAATACAAATAAGCCTCAATTAGTAGCTCTTAGTCATCATTAGACATGCATGTCTCTTAATTAATAATTAATGTCTTAAAATTGTCAATAATTTCTGTTATTACAGTGGGTAAAAATCAAAACCATATACTATATGTATAATGCTGGGTTCCACACAAATCCTTTAAGTTTTCCTAACACAAATCAATGAAGTTAACTTCATCATTTTACAACCTTATGTGGATTGAAAAGATTTAAAATAAAGTTTTTTAGATGTTAGTGTCAGTATTATTATTTTTTTAGGATATCTATAAGCTATTAAGCCCCAAAACAGAGACAAAATTATTCACATTTAGAATATATCAAACTCATATAAACATTTAAAGCTTGTATTTTTTGTTACTTCCGCCCAAATGGATCAATGGTTTTATTCACGTCACCTTACATTACATCTTCTTATCACATCATAACCAATCAAATGCTCTCTAGTACTTGACATGCCCCGCCCATTCAAAAATGCTTCTCATTTGCTTTTCATTTGATGTACTTGAGCTCAACCCCTCTCACTGGCAGAGCTGTCATAAAACAAAACAATACTGACCGCTTTTAAAAAAGGGGAGGAGCTACACGATGTCCCACACTCTCATTGTGATTGCTTCAGAATAGGTCAAACACCGAAAAAAATGCATATTCCAAAGCTCTTCACAGGACCTTAAGGTGTCCCTAAAAAAACCTTAAGAATTATGTTGATTCAACTCATTTTATATAAGTAGTTTAAACAAGCAGAAAGACATTTTTTGAGTGTTGTTATTTTTTGAGTGTTGTTATGAACAGTTAGCACTTTCTATTGAGAATATCTTGTTTTGATTTTTTTATTTATTTATTTTTTTAATGAAAAAAGAGATGTTATCATGATTGTTTATTTGGTAACTGAATTATTAGCATTAGTCAATGGATTAGGCGTCCATAATGATATTAACAGCAGTATGTATTGGTATTGATATTTATGACAGTACTGTTGTTAATTTTTAACTAGTGTATATTTTAAATGCATTATGCAAAATGTAATGATATGTACTTCTACAACTTAAATAATGATAGTCTATACAACTAATAGATATTTTTGTAATTGGTTTGATGTTATTTCTTACTTTATTTCTTTGATTATTAGATGAAATCAAGATATATATTTTTTGTTTAATATATAATTTGATCTGTAATTAAATGTGTTATTTTTATTATCAATAGTTAACACAAGTTCATCATGATAAAATATTATTAAAGTTCATTATATCTATGCAGTTTTTTGATAGATGTACTGCAGATTATTCCTGTGAATAATCACTTGTCACAAGTGTCACAAGACCGTTTAGAAAGAAACGGTTGTAATATAAACGTAATATTTGTCAGGAAACATTTTTTTTTTTAGATTGCTTGACCTATAAAAAGTTTGAAAATCTCTTTTATTATAAGAAATGAGTTTTGTGTGTCATTGTAAATTTTTATTCATTGATCAATCGATCTGTATTTCGATCAAAACATTACAGCATTGAGCTAAATAAGATTAAAAAATGAACTCTTACTGTAAAGTCTAACATAGTAAGGTTACCCCATCTATTAATTTTTAATTAAAGCGTTAATTCAAAATCTAAAGTAAATAAACAAAATGACCATGGGCCAAGGTTGTAGTTTTAGAGAAGTATCTTTTCCTAATATGTAGCTATAATAAATGCTAACAAGTATATTAATAAAAATATTAATCTCTCTCCGGGCAGCAAGTGGCAGTGCCAAGCTCAGTGGGTGGCATGGTGCGTCCCGTGACTGGGGCAGACATGGGCATCAGGAGGGCAGAGATTCGCCCGGGCCTACGAGAGGTCATTCTCTGCAAAGACCAGGAGGGAAAGGTCGGCCTGCGTCTCAGAGATATCGATAATGTAAGTAAATTCAGCTCTTTATTAATATTATTATTATTATTCAGAGATGCATCCACCCCTCCCCCCGAAATTGGGATTAGCCTTTTTTATTTGTACTTAATTAAATGTGTTTTAGAAAAGTGTAAAAAAAAATGTACAGGATATCAGTTTATTGTATCTGTGAAAATTTCTATCTAATGCTAGAGCGAACATCTATATTTAATGTACTTATACATATACGTATACATCTGTTGATTTTATCTTGAAGGTAAAGGTTACCCAAAATAAACATTCTGTCATCATTTACCCACCCTTCATTTATTCAAACTCAATTTGAGTTTCTTTTTTCTTTTAAACACAGAAGTATTTTGAAAAATGCTGGTTGCTGGTCGCTTCCATAGAATTTTTTTTTCTACCGTGGCAGTCAATGGTTATAGATTTTCAATTTCCGAGGAACTGTATGAAATAAATCAGAGATTGGTGCATCATTATTACCCTCATCACTCTCATTGTCAGCATACTGTATGCTTCATTGTTGTCATCATCATCATCAGCAGCAGGTGATATGGTTATCTTTCATGCGTGTCATTTCCTGTTGGTGTAGGGAGTGTTTGTGCAGCTGGTGCAAGCCAACTCTCCAGCGGCACTGGCTGGTCTGCGTTTTGGAGATCAGGTTCTGCAGATTAACGGGCAGAACGTTGCTGGCTGGAATTCAGATAAGGCCCATAAAGCTCTGAAGGCAGCAGCAGAACAGCGCATCGAGCTCATCGTTCGAGACAGGTCAGTCCTTTCTGACTGTAGTGCAAATACACTGCTTTTTTTCTTTGAGGTCAGTCCCATATTCTCGAGACTCAATCTGGTTAAGTGTAATATAGCTTTAAATGATAAAAAAAGAGTCAAGCAGTTTGTCAGGCATTTTTTGATTAGACACCTGAATAAAAATATTCTATTTAATGATCACAGAGTAGCCCCAAAATACTGATTCATTGTCATTTTAAATGTTTGTACTTTGCCACTATCATTTAAAACACTGAATTTAAGCCCTTTTAAAATAATTTGATATAAAATAAAAGCTATTATAAGAACTTAGTCTATTATACTGCATATTTTAATATGTACGGCAGGGTGTTTTGTTTTGCCATTCATATTTAAAACTTAAAAGTGGACACATTTACATATGCATTCTATAAATAAAATCATTTGTGGTTGTAATTTGATGCAGATACCAACATATTCAAATTAAATGTAATTAAAAAGCTAAAGTGATCACTTATTCTGGACTCTTATTTTCATTCATTTCATTGAAGTCATCATTTGATTAACATTGGAATAAAATGCTAATATTGTAATTTAGTGTTTTCAGTTTCATTATAAATTGTATATACATATTGTAATTTGATATAATTTGTATATAAGTATTTGAATTAAAACAATCAGATTTTAAGCTTCATTACTCCAGTATTTTTTTTTTGTTTACGCCTAAGAAGCATTTATAAAACAAATGTTTTTCAAAAATAAATTCTAAAAAATGTTTTTAGGAAATCATGACTGAATGTTTTGATTGTAAAGCTGGAATGAGTTGCATTTGAAATACTAATGAACCTTACATTGTTATAATTAAAGAAATGCAGTAATAAGATATTAAAAATTTTACCTCAATGAGTGTATTGGACAGGTTCAACATGACAGGTGTATTTGTGTAGAGCTCTGTTGACCTCTAGTGGTTATTTGTTATAACGTTAGTTTACTTTAATCCGAGAACATATAAGGACATTTCTTAAAATGTTCAAGTTAAGTAGGCATGGGCCGGTATAAGTTTCTGACGGTATGATAACCTATGATAAAAGTATCATGTATACATCGGTATTGTTTACTGCTCTAAAATATGTTCTTCTTAAATGTCTAGGTAAAAAAACAAAAACAAAATCTCCTTTGAATACAATATATTTTAGTTTGAGAAACATTTTAATAACATATTTTGTAGCAAGAAACATGTCTGGCTTAATAATTAAAATAAATGATTGACTTCTGCTGTCCTCATTCGTTGCAAAAACACTGATTTCTTTGCAATTTAAATGGCTTCTTTTATATATTTTCTGCTGGAGATACTGTTGTCCTAAAAAACAAACAAACGAAAAAATTAATAAAAAAAAACTTAAATAAAAAAATCTTACACGTACCTTAGGAATGGTACAGCAGAAAATTTTGAAAGATTTAAATCCTTGACTTTTTCAAACCACGGTATACCGTGAAAACGGTTATCGTCCCATGTCTAAAATTAAGTTAAATCAGCATGTGTGGAGTAGTGGCAGATTAACACAGAAAATAATTTTGAATAATTTATATAATAAAAAATCATTCACACTGACACCTAAAAGCAGTAAACTTACTACAAAGAATAGGGTCGTAACATTTATGATGGCCAGAGTCATGACTTTATGGCCTTACTGACTGAGTGCAGCATAATAATTGATGATGAGATGATGCTAGTCAACACACATTTAAAAGATATCTCTTTGTTTTCTAGACCATTCCAGCGCACAATCACCATGCACAAGGATAGCTCTGGCCATGTGGGCTTTATCTTCAAATCTGGGCGCATCACATCTCTAGTGAAGGACGGTTCTGCTGCTCGTAACGGCCTGCTCACCGAACATTACATCTGTGAGATCAACGGCCAGAACGTCATTGGACTCAAGGTGAGAGGGGCTCATCAAGACAAAAGTCCAGTGCTTTACAATCCAGTCAGTATGTGAGGGACCGAGCCTGCACGCAGTAAGGGGCATAGTGTTTTGAACATAATGAACAACACGACACAATGAACGCAAACAATCTGCACAATTTCTTTTTTTGTAATTAATTAATGAATGCATGTAATCATGCCTACTTATAAAATGTTTAAATATTTACTACCTCAAACTGTTAATTAATTGAGTTTGGTGTAATATTGTGTTGTTTTCTGTCCATAGGACACTCAGATTAAGGACATCTTGACCACATCTCCTACTGCCATGACCATCACCATCATGCCTAAATTCATCTTTGAACACATGATCAAGAAGTAAGTATTTTTAAATATATACCCAAATGATCTTATACTATTTGATCTAAATGAAACATTAAATATTTTGTAGCTTTTTAAAAAAGATGTTTTTTTGGACAGTTTTCTTTATTTGCTGTTTTCCCCTAATATTAACATTGATATTTAATACTGTACAATCTATTTTAAATGAGATTGTAGCCAAAACAAACCATTACACAAAATCATACATATCATCTGTATTTAATAAGAATAAATGACTTCTTAAAATGTATTAATACACTAGCACAGTACTACCAGAATTGTAGAACCACTAGAATGACCATAGCAGCCATTATAAGACTGTACTGAATCATACACCCTGCACAGTACTTAGATTTGTTGCTATTTTCAGACTAGCGCAACCCTAATTTTTAGGTTTTAGGCCATGTTGTTTTAATACTAAATCCATTTGAACCACTTTGTGAACTCATGGATGTGCCGGTCTAAAATAGAGGTGTGTTAAGGCGCATTGTTGGCGTGTTGCTATTTTGAAAAACTGAAATTGACCACGCTGTTGGCCAACTGATTGCTGGTCTAAAGTCCACACAGAGCACGTTAGTTATGTGCCTATGCAGGTCCAAAACGCTTTCACAGTGATTAATACACACAAGATGTACAGCAATCCACAAATATCTCTACATATGAACAAAATTAAAGGATACTAATGGTACAAAAATTATTATTTTCTACATAAAAACCAATGCCTCCATGCCTTTATGGTGGGGGCTATTTTCATTTTATATTTTCATTTCGGATGCCCTTCCCCCATCTCTGGGAAACATCCACACACACTCGTTCTAGTGATGGGTCGTTCATGAACGATTCGTTAATTTTGAACGAATCTTGACTCGGGAACTGCGAATCCTCTCAGGGAGTGATTCGTTCAACCGCGCATGCGCACATTTGTGCAGGTGGTATCGTTCATTTCAAGTCTTTCGAGAAGCCAATCATATGCGTTTAGAGCCAGAAAAATGATTGATCCGTTCATCTGTCGAGTCCTCTATCTGGTCGGAGTCATTCGTTCATCATGGGCCAATCATATGCGTTTAGAGTTGGAAAAAGAATTGATCCGTTCACCTCTCGAGTTCTCTATCAAGTCCGAGTAATTCGTTCCCCAAAAGCCAATCATATGCGTTCGGAGCCGGAAAAAGAATTGAACCGTTTATCTCTTGAGTCCTCTATCGGGTCTGAGTCATTCTGTCACGTGATGAACGAACGACTCAAGAACCAGAAGACTCAAAAGGGGAACTAATCATGGCTCTTATCGGCTCAAACTGTGTACATTGGTTAAGATTAAGGTGAGTTGAGCTAAGAGACAAAAATACCTTCATAGACAAAAGAGCAGGTAAACATTGAATTATTATTTTCTCCTTTTCATAGTATTCTATTTATGACTCATTTTTCGTGTGATCAATCTTTTGGGCTAGTTGTAGATGTGTTTGGAAGCAATTTGTAACATTTTAATAATATTTTGGCAAATTGAACCAAATGAACGAAATGACTCGAAAAAAGATGCTTCAAAGATCCGAGTCAGTAAAATGATCCGAACTACCCATCACTAACTCATTCACACTCATACACTATGGACATTTTAGCCTGCCTAATTCACCTGTACCGCATGTCTTTGGATTGTGGGGGAAATCGGAGCACCCAAAGGAAACCCAAGCGAACGCAGGGAGAACATGCAAACTCCACACAGAAACACCACCTGACCCAGCCGAGACTCGAACCAGCAACCTTCTTGCTGTCGGGCGACAGCACAACCTACTGCGCCACTGCGTCGCCGCGTTCAGTTTTTCCACTTACAAAGTCCACCATATGAGTTACTATGGAATCAGATTTTCCTGATCATGACTCATCTTTGTGTTTCAGGATGTCAGGCGGCCTGCTGAAGTCCTCAATGGATCACTCTGTGCCTGAGGTCTGAACACAGGAGACCATGCAAAAACCCCCTTTCCACAATGCCTACAATCTCTAGCCTTCCCACTGGAGCCTTCAGCACAGGGCTAGCCTATCACTGATTGGATAAGACCTTCTCAATCACATTCATTTAGAACATGGAAAAAAAAACTGCCTTTTTCTATTTCACCTGTTGGCCGTTATCATTCTGCCTTCTAGTTCTTGATTCTGTCCTTCCATGTCATCGTGCCATTGTTTAATTACTGTCATATTACATGTTATACAATAATAATCCATCACCACTCTTGAAATATTAGCATTATTATCTGATTATTTTACTTTAGCTGGGAGGAAGGGGGCTAAAAAAATGAATCTGAGCTTCCTTTCTGAAAGGCTTCAACACTTCTAACTTCTCTATTCCTCCCACTATGCACAAACACTTTGTTTTTGTTTTTTTTATTCATATTTTTAACTTGTATATGCCAAGACAGCTGTACTCTGCCAGAAAGGATCCTGGGCCAGAATTTATAATACAACAACTCATTTCTTATTGATTCACCATGTTTTTATAGATGTTTAATCTTTCATAATATTCTATCATTATCCTGTAAATGTTAGTGTCTCTAAAATTTATATACGAATGTAACCTGAAGACTGAAATTATTACAAAAATAAATCATCCTGGTGATACCATTGGAATGTAGTCAAAGGTAATCTTTAAAAAAAAAACAGATTTAAAACAAATGACTGAAAGTCATCCAAAGTAGCAAGAAAGGCTTTGTTCACCATGCTATTTAATATAGATCTTTTACAGAGTGATGAAGGTTCAACAGCCATGTGTTGCAGTGATGTTTATACATACTCATATCACCATTAAAATATTATTCTACACAAAAAATATTGAGACACTTTGAAACATTGCTGGGCTTACAGGACTGTTTCCATTTTTCTGATTGATCTTATACTGTTAGTTTAGACAATAGACACAAAATTGAATAGCCAGATGAAGAATGTAAACATCATTGGAATTACCAATTAGAAAAACAAGCAAGCAAACAAACAAACAAACAAACAAACTCAAAGGTAGCTCTGTAAGATCTAATATTCTAGGCACACTTATAAAATCCTGCTTAACAGATACTGAACTACTGGTGTAAGTCAGCTTTCCAAACATTTCAGTATTCATTCTTTAGGAGTCAACTTACAAAACAAAAGGTGTTGATGATGTACAAAAATAACCTAACATTTTAAACATCTGTTTATTGCAGGAGTGAGTTATTAAGTTATTTAAATTGTGTAATTTACTTTGCCTCATATCATTGCAGAAATTTGGAAGAAAGACAAATATATTTTTAATACAATCTAAATTATTCTTGTTCCTCTATTAAATGTCATTTCTTACAAAACTTTGATGCTTCAAAACACCCATAAATAAAGGGATCCAAAAATAACATGGGTAATAAATAAGTGGTTTAAAACAAAGTCTTCTGAAGGCACATGATCTTTTATAACATAAAACAATAAGTGACTTTATATTAACTCTTACATGCTGTTGGGGATGTTTTCATCCACTCTGGGGTGATTTAGAGTCTTCATTTGGCCATTACTTTTTCTGTGTTTCATTTAGCAGAATGATTTTTGGTGACATCTTATTTTGACGTATTTTGAGAAAATGCTTTGAATGAAAAAACTCAATACACTTTGGGGAAATTTAATCTGATGCAGTAAAGATTATATATATATATATATATATATATATATATATATTTTTTTTTTTTTCCCAGATTGTTTGAATAAATCTGTTAATCCAGGTCAGTCCTGATCAAAACTACTAAATGTTTTTATAAGTTACAAGATTTGAACTCTTCAATTGCCAAATTCATAAATGATGTCACTGATTTGGTGAAAAAAACACACAAAATGACATCTTTACAATGTAAAAAGTAATTGTAGACTGAACTTTTTCTTTTTTTCTTAGCCATGTGAAACAACATTGCCTTTGATGCATTGTTTTTGAATAGTTTTCTTTTTTTCTCCCTAATTTACTGTTGGTGGCTGTTTTTGCTCCATTCACTTCCAATATAACCACATTGTTTTTTGTTTTTTTTTGATTGCAAGCCATGACACCATATAATCAGGCATTTTTGATTGTAGGTGGTTTTCCCTGTTGGGAAGATGTAAAATTGGTCATTTTTGCTGTTGATCATCAGTTGGCACCATTAACCCTTTAGATAGACCTGTGCGAAAAAGCTTAGTTTCTGGATTTTATATGGAATAACAGCAAATTAAATGTGTGTATGTAAGACTGACCATTACACACTTACCTTGAAGTGTCTGAGAAAATCTAAATATGCATCTCAGCTCTTAGAACTACATGGTGCCTAAATACAGTCTTTGTTTTCATTTACTCCATTAAATGTGGTTATAATGGAAGTCAATGGGGCAATAACAGTCACGACCAAAAAACAGCAACAACCAACAGTAAATTAGAGAGAAAAAATGAAAATCTAACAATGCATCAAAGCCAATGTTGTTACTGTAATGAAAAGGTTTAAAAAACCCAACCCGCAATTACTTTTTATATTGAAAATATGTCATTTTGTGTGTTTTTTCACCAAATAAGTGACATCATTTATGAATTTAGTAATCAAGGGGTTAAAATCCAGTAATTTTCAAAACAATTTAGTATTTTTGATCAGAACTGAGGTTAATTAACAGATTTATGCAAAAATAACATAACAAAAGGGTAGTAAATTTGAACATTGCACAAGGGTTATATGGCCTTAACTAATGTGTACTTGCATGAAAATTAATAATTTGTTACAATTTGTTATTTTGTAAAACATATTCGTTCTTATGATTAATTAAACACCTGGATGTAATTACATTTTAAATTACACTGTTAACCATCTCTCTTACACCTTAACTCACTCTTAAACCTACCTATACCACCAAACCTGTACCTATCTCGACCCATATCCCACATCAACTAATACATAATGAAGACAGTAAGTACATTTTATTTATTTTATAATGCAAGTACACAGTAGTTAAGGCCATTTAATATCAAGTGTAACCAAGCATGGTTCATCAAACATACTCACATTCAGACACAGAGGCTCAATCATGCTTGCTTGATGTACTGTATGAGACTCATTGCGTGACTAGCGGCAATGCAATCAAGCAAGTATGGTTGTCTGTTCAGTGTTTACATGGGATTAAACCTCTAAATTGAATCAGTCTCTCTTCTGAGGACTTGGATTAAACCACTTGATCCACATTGATTTATTCGTAGATCTCTTTGTAAATGCTTTGAAGCATTAAGAGGTTTTGTGCGAACATGAACTGTCAGTAGAGGGACGGAAATCTGAAGATTTGATTAGAATTCACATTTGATTATCTTCATGTTCAGACGAGGAACAAAAAGTCTTATTTGGTCTGAATCAACATGAGGGTGATTGAGTAATGACAGGATGTCTGACCTAAAAGCTGAAGATATTTTGAGGTCACAAAACCACATTCTAAACAAAAGGTTGTGCCAAGCTGTCACTATTAGCCACAATTCTAAAACAAAATAAACAAATGAAAATTAACAGATTCTCTGTGCACTGACTTATTAGAATTCTTAAAGGGATAGTTCACCCAAAACTGAAATAGTCACAGTTGATTCACCATCAACTTATTATGAACCTCTAAAGGCAATGATCTTAAACTCAATTCCTGAAGTGCCGCAGCTCTGCACAGTTTAGCTCCAACCTCCTCTAACTCACACCTGCTTAAGTGACTTTCTCAAATAGACTTGAACACCTTGATTAGTTAGATCAGCTGTGTTTGATTAGGATAGGAGCAAAACTGCAAAGCTGTGGCCCTCCAGGAATCAAGTTTAAAACTGATGCAAGTTGTCTTTCTTCTGATGAACACAAAACAAAACATTTTGAAGAATATTGCGCTGAAAAAAATGCAGAAAAGTTTCACGCAGTTCCTTCATGTCGTCAAGTTAACAATCATTATTACAAATTGAAGTGGATTGAACATAAAAAAGTTGAGTTATCCCAAAAACCTTAAGAATTAGGTTGTTGAAACTCATTTAAAATAAGTAGTTTGAACAATCACCAAAAGTTATTTGAGCATGGAAAAAAAGTAACCATTGACTACTATAGTATATTTTTCCTAGTGTCAAATGCTATCAGTTTCCAACATTCTTCAAAATATCTTCTTTTTCATTTAACAGAAAAAAAGTCTCCAAATGGTTTAGAACCACATGAGGGAGAGTAAACAACAAGTCAATATGGATTTTGAGGTAAACGTTCCCTATAATGGAGTATCTCAAACTTAAAAACAAACTATATTTCATTCTTATTAGTTACCATCTAAATGCAGACAGACAATTCATTTATACAGTCATGGATTTTCACATTAAATCACACACAGCTCCTCTCTCTGTGCTGTGCTGAACGCTGTTTACATTTCCATAAAACAAACATGTAACATGACAGAAATATTATTACTTAAATTTACCAGCATATAGGGCCAACATACACATCTCTGCTCGTAATATGGCTTCAAAAATTCCAGAAAACCTTATCAAGGCCTTACAGGTCAGTTATACAAAGCTTTATATCAACGTAAAACATTTACCTGTCCAAATAACTAATGTAATAGTTATTACGTACATATCTTTGACAAAACAGACGATAGCAGTTTGGGGGGAGCCTACTATACCTGGAGAAACAATCTCATTTAACCTCTCATAATCACATTCATAGTTCAACAAACACAAGTCGATATTAAAAAACAAAACAAAACAAATACATACAGTCTTATTAACAACTGTGAGGTTCTTTTATAAGTGCTAAGTTGGAATGGAGGTGAAAGGTGCAGGGACTAAACACCAAAACAAACACATCTGTGCACGCTTGCCACCACATGAAGCACAACTTAAGATTGTCAGCAGTTCAAAGAATAAATATCAAACACCCTGCAGACGCCACAAAATCGGCACTACAGAAAGCAGCAAATTATTTCAAAGAGAACTTTACAACGAATATTGCACTACATGTACTGTACACAACATCAGAGGGAGGAGGTAGACTGAAAGGCAGCGGCTATTCATGGTTTTGGAGGAACAGAAGATAAGACAATATGTGAGACACAAATAACGACAGTTGGTGTTCGCCTGGCTGATTATCTGGTACATTGTTTTCAACAATTTAATGCAAACTTTGATTAATGGTTCTTTGAAATAACCCTGAACCACAAATGCACATGTATGCACTGGCCTTTGGACAGACAGAATCACACAATCAAATATACTTCAAGTAATTGCTTATAAAGTGAATTATAGTGCAATTGACAGTAAATGTCATCCATTACCAAGTGTCAGTCAAATAAAAGGTCAACATGAACATCTCGGGGGACATACAGTCTTGGCCAAATGATTGGAAAAAGCTGGAAACTAAAATTGTTACACTTTAAATATTTGGCTAAGCCAGATGTAGAGGATTTTTAAATGGTAATAAAAGTGGGTAATCACAGACAGACAGTTTCAAAAGATCTTTAAATTAATATTATTTAAACGTACATGCTCCGTAATTATGTGTATGAAACTTCACTTTCAAAGAAAAGCTAATATGGAGCAGGTTGAAAGCTGGTTCTTCTATTTTTTTTTTTTTTTTTAGCAAAGGGGAAATGAGAAAATTACTGGCAGAGATGTCTTCATAGATGTCGATACTCTTTTGTGACATGGTCACGGCTGCCATGTTATCATTATAAAAGAACACATCCACCAATTTGTGAAAATTCACCATGGCCATTGACTATTGCAAAAATCCCATTAGAGGCAAACTAATCACCCGCTTTGAATGTTATTATTTGATTGAATGGCCAATAACAGTGGTTATCAGCTGATAGATATGGCCGGTGAGGGCTTTCTGTGCCTGCTGGTAGGCGCAAGAGGGCTGTTATCATCCATCCACATGGTCAATCAGTTATACTAACAGAGAAGACTCCAGATCCAGATCTTTACATTACTGTGACGGTTGGGGTAGGGGGTAGACGTTAATACAATACAATTAATAAGGGAATTAATAAATAATATAAATAATTCTTGTGGTTAATCAGCTATACTACCAGAAAAGACTCCAGATCCAGATCTGTTTTTACATTACTGTGATGGTTGATGTAGGGGTAGACGTTAATACAACTAATGGGACATGTAAAAAATAATATAAATAACTCTTGTTAACTTCAGGCCACAGCTGTATGCAATCTATAGCTGATTAACCATGCGGGTGGATAATAACAGCCTTCTAAGCCTACCAGTAGTCGCAGAAGGCCCCTACTGGCCCATATCTATCAGCTGATAACTACTGTAATGCTCATTCAATCAAGTGATAACATTCAAATCGGCTGGACTGATCAAGAGTTGGGACTGTAAAGTAAATTTACTTTCTCAATCGCTGCAGGGTGCAAATTGGACCCAACATAAGGATGAATAATTTAAAGTGTGTGGCCAATCAAATAGGACAAATGCATGAAAAATACTCATTTTAGAGGAAAATTTCAGATGGCACTTAGAGGGTTTTGCATTTGAACTCTTCACATATTGTGAACTATATACTACATTGCAAAAATAAAATAGTTAATTAGAATTTTAGCATACCAATGATTTGATTAGCATGGAGGAAAGCTAAATTAAGGTCAGATTTGACATTATGTATAGATAATAACAGGTAAAATTATAAGTGGGTAATTACACAATTATAGTTTGTAATTATACCTCTTGTAATTTGTAATTATCTAACCCAGTGTAGTGAACGTGACCGTATTAAAGCTTAGCCTTTATCCAAAAACATTTGGCTAACGTGACAATATTTAATGGTCACACAGTGAAACAAAATCTAATTATTTTCTGGTGAAAAAGCTTCTATGATGATTCTATAAAAGTCATTCAACCCTGATCATTGTATAAATGCTGAATCCTTCATAATGTTAGTATTATCCTATTATAATATATACTTTAGATAAATATTTCAGCATTCAACTTGTACAGCATTTCAAAACCATCAAATATTGCCAATGAACTGAGCCTAAAATAATGAGTACATCTTCTGAAAGACTCCAGATGGACTACGTTTCATTTTGTGACAGCACTTATCTAGGACACTAGTGGTATATTCAAAGCATATAAATAGCTCTGCAGGCGCTTGCCCGGCTCCTTAAGGGGAAATGATGGCTGCTCTGTGCCAAACAGGCATGAATAATGGGACAGCTAACTACTGCACTCACAGCAACAACAATGATGGCCATTAGTAATCCAGATACTTTGGCTGCACTGTACATTACACAAATAACACAAACACTCTCTCAGATAAACCAATACACACTCAGCACACACATCCTCCACGTGAAGTTGGGACGGACACTCAAATAGACAGATTCATCCTATCACTTATTGCGTCTCGTCACTCAAAATAAGGGTAATGCAATCATGTTAAAGGGGATGTTTGAGTGTCACTCATTCAGCAATATCAGTGCAACCATCCACATCACATCCATCACTGAGAACTCTTAAACTCACCTCTTTACTTAAGGGAACAAATGTGAAGAAAGGTGAAAGCTCACATGGAGCCTCAATCTTGGTGTAAATACATGCTAATGTTTCTCCTTTCTTATTCTTAGCTCCTCTTGAACATAGACCAAAGAGAACTACATCTTTAAGGGCCTGTGCTCAGACACAATCCCTGCTTCAAACAATATTTTGCATGTTTTAACCAGACTCTAATAGCACATCTGACAGAGGAACAGTGATGTCACTGGTTTTAGGGCTTTGCAAGAAAGAGAATGTCTCATATATTCATTCCCCCTGGACCACCTCCTCCTGCAGGGTAGTGGCGAAGGCCACCTCCTCGACGAAGTGAATGGAGGGCCACGGTGCAGCAACCACGCAAAAGAGAACCAATATGGTAAATTGGCTGACCATCACGATGTGGACCCCGACAGAACCATGCCACGGTGGGAACCACTGGCACGACCACAGCAAGCAAATCCACTAGGAAGTGCCGACTCCAGTAGTTCTTGACTGGTAAACCACAGCCAGATGATTTGGAATCTGTGTTCGTTGCACCTTCATCCCCCTCATCTTCATCATCTGCGCCTATATTTATCACATTATCCCCTGGAACCACAGTCTCTGTTAATACACTATGAGGCTGAGTGGTCTGAGGAAGGGAGTCCTCCTCTGTCCCCACCAAGGGCTGCATAGAGCAAGGGGATGTGCCAGGGTTTGGCAAAGGGTCTGTTATAGGTTGTGGTTGAACAGTTGAGTTGGTTACTGGTGATCCAATGGTCTCTGTGGTCATAGCTGTCGTGCTGATTGGCAAGTCTGTAAGGGGCTCTGAAAAACTAGTCTCCTTGTCAGGGGAATCAATAGGCATCAATGGAAAAGTTGCAGCTCCTTTGGAATCAGATGCAGTTGGCATCCAATTCTCCATTGCTACTGGTGCGGACTTGGTGGAAAAGTCTGCAACAACAGAAGTTGTAGCAGCTGTTGCTGTAATAGCTGATTCTGTGGCTGCTGACTCCAGATCATCTCCTTCATCAGACATCCATGTGGAGGTTGGACTGCAGGCCTGAGAGCGGAACGTGCGCTCAGCAATAGTGTCCAGATCAGAGTTAAAAGATGTACTAGGACCATGGGCAGGAGCAGAAGCTGGGGCATGGTCATATTCAGTTTGAATGCCTTGCTCACGAAGGTGGTGAAGATATAAGTGATGATGTGACAGACAGGGATGGCTTAAACTAACACTGGCCCCCGCCCCGATACTACTGCAGCGGAGTGGCACAACTCTCGGCTCACTGCTGCACAGTCCTTCATAGGTGGAGGAATGCGGCAGGCGGGAGTACGCATTGAGCAGCGAGGCTGTCTCTTGAGACAGAAATGCAGCCTCCAGGAGCAAATCTGCCTTGCTGGCTCCTCTCCCACTCTCTCCACAGCAAACAAACCCGCTGTCTTGCGTGCCCTCGCCTGACAAACATGGAATGTCACACCCGTTTTCATTACTCTCACGTTCCGGGCCACCTTGATCACTCAACTTGGTGTAGGTAGAGCTGCGGGTAAGCGAGCGAGCTGGGGAGCCTTCGGAAGACCCCGCCAGGCCCTCGCTGACCTCCAGCCCTGCCCCCACCAATCCTCCACCTGCTAGGGCTTCTCCTGTTTTGGTAGTGCCGATCTGAGCCAACTCCATGCTTTGCAATAAAGACTCCAGTTTGTGGTTCTGTAGGTTTATATCTTGGAAGCCCTTCTGCACCCCTGTGTCAGTATCTCCCAGACTGGATTTGACAACATCAACAACTTCTTTAAGCTGGTGAATCTCCCTGCGGGCCTCCTTCAGAGCCAGCTGGGCCTCCACACGGTGGCATTCCTCTTCAATCCAGTCCTCTTGCATACGAGTCAGCTGAGTACGCAACTCATCGATCTCAGAGTCCCTAAGGAAGGAGGAAGTAAAGGACAGAAAAACAGGTGTCAAAAGAGAAAAGCAAGCAAGGAAAAAAAGATTTAAACATTTTTTGTCCTATCCCAGGAATTCAGAAGTGATGTATGCCAGCAGACAGCTACATCAAGCAGAGCATTCAAAATGACAAACTGGAGGATGAACAACAAATGAACAACTGAAGGAAGGACAGTGCTCTTTGTTTTTTTGGCATTGAGAATATCAGTTTATTTATGAACTAATTTCGAGAGGATCACATGCTTATGATTGACCACGGCTAGTCCCGCATCAGCTTCACATATTGCGCCAATCAGATGAATACTAACTCACCATAAATAACCAGAGTTTTTTCACTGAAGAATTTCCCCTTTCACTCCTACTTCTCGCCGTTCCCCTGATTGGGTAGCACAGCAGCCCATTGGTTAGCACTGTTGCCTAACATTAAGAACTCCACTGGGCCAGTTAGAGTTTCTGTGCGGAGTTTGCATGTTCTCCCAGTGCTCATGAGGGTTTTCCCTGGGTTCCCCGATTTCATTCATTATAAGTAAATTGACTAATCCAAAGTGGCATCATAGGACAAACTCTTAGCCTGCTATATCTCTCAGCTATTCCTAACACGTTCACAAGCAGGGGAGTTCTCAAGACCTACCTGAGCTCAAACTCCATTCTCCCTAAGTATGAAATCTTGAAGTATAATTTATCAAACTGAAATATTAAAATGGAGGGAAAAAAGAATCACAATTGAAACCTATAGTTCTACATGTGATTGAGGATGAAAAAAGAAAACAACTGCAAAAACAAAGGCTTTTGGTTAATGCCCCTAAAATTAGCTGTATGTCTTGTAATAGTGTCAGTGTTTTAAACACATATATCCCAGTTCTTGCAGTGTGAACATAACAAAAAGTGGGTATTCCACCATTAGGAATAATGAAAACATTCCTCCAGTGGGACAGCCCCTTAACACCTACTGTATAACAAGCTGTCAGTGTTTGTTTGGAAAGCATGGTGAAAGTTTCTTCACTGAACATCATTTAATGTTTACCACTGACACCATTTAATGTTATTTTAATGCTGAACCAATACGGCTAAACAGATGTTTGCCCAGACTTGCAACGAGCAAATCATTATCCAGCCAAACAACTGCCACTTTGAGGAATAGGAATGTTCAACAATATCTCTCTTTGGAGCATTACACACAGAAGCTTTGAAAATACATTTATGCTTATGTGATCCTTGCCATTAGACAAATGGAGGCTGCCATTAAATAAACAGTTTAGACGTAATAAATAGCCTGTGCTGATGAGAGAAATAAACGAGACTGCAGTTTAATGCTAGTATTCACTGTTAAGCAATTTAATAGGTAGATCTGTTTTTACATTTTTTTACATGGACATGAAAATAAACCAAGTGAACATTTGCATAGAAATAAAGTAGCCCCTTTAATTAACCGCTACTTGCTTTAGCTGTTAAAAAAATCTAAAACCAATTTCATCAGACTAATTAAATCCTGCATGGACCCTTACGGTGAAATTGATGGATGCCTCACCTGTCCTGCAGTCTTTCGATGGTCTCTTTAAGCCGTGCTCTCAGGTGCCTGATGCACACCTCTTTCTGTTGCAGTGGGGTGAGGTATTGCTCAGGAGGAGGAGGTCGAATGCCATGGTTATCATTGCAGGAGGTGTATTTTATGTGACGCCTGACATAGACAAAAAATTGGTATATAGAAGAAAAAAACGTAATATTTAAATAGATGCATAAAAAAGTGACATCACTAGACAAGTCGTGTCTCACCTATGGGTTGGGCTTCCATCACTGCCCTTGCATGACCCTGAATTGCTACTGCTGCTGAGAGAGGCATTTCCATAGGGATCACGGTTACTGACAGGTGCTGGACTCCGTCTGTTCCATAACAAATATCACAATTTCACAGCGTCACCTTCAAAGCCACTTAGTAGGACACAGGATTAGGGCTGCATGATACATCGAAATGAAATCGAGTATAATTTAGAAAAAGCAGTGATTGTTATGCACATCTTGTAAGGGAAGCACGGCTCTGTAATTAGCATTAAATCAAATGCTGCAGTTTGTCAAATCATGGAATGATCATCTTCGATTTCAGATTCATGCCAATTAAATGGTCCACATTATTTAGGAGTAGCTTGTCAGTGAACTCTGGCTCTGTGTAGTAAACACTGCTCCATCGGGAAGTAGCTGAGACAAATTTACAGCTGATTACAGAACTGGCTTTACTGACAAGATGTGCATGAAATCGACTTTGATTAATCGTGCAGCCCTACACAGGATGCAGTACAAACAGAATAGACAGACAAACACTTACATGAACAAACACAAACATAATAATACATAAAAGACAAAAACAAACATGCACACCAACTGTACAAAAAAGACTAACATGCCTCTATACATTGTCAACTGGTCAAAAAGGGGGACACAAAACCTTTTTTAGATTTAAATGTGACACAAACAATAAAAATGGCAAGAAAGTGCAAAGTAACACAATCACCTGTATTATGTGTGAGATCATGATAAATATGTGTCATGACTCAGTTATGATAAACTGGCAGCTGAAGAAGCAGAAACTGACAGCAGTGCCATCTCATGAGAGCAAATATCCACATTTCACCACGATACACAAACGCAATTCAAACTTTAAACCCTCAATAAAATCAAAACATTCGATTTTATAGGGAAATCGTGCTGTGGTTTTAATCCATGCTGACACAGATAACAAAGAGAAGTAAAGAAATGAAAGGAGATAGTCAAAAGAGACAGAAGTGATGAAAAAGAGAGGGATGATGGAGGGCTGACCGACAGTGGCGTTCCGGGGACTTTGGTGTCAGAAATCCTCTGCTCTGTCTCATAGAGACCATAATGCCTGACTCCATGGGTGTGTAGTCTAGCTCTATAAACCTGCAATAGTCAAAACTGACCCACAAACAAGAAGGCATCGTTACACAAATTGGCACACACCTAAAGTTCATCTTGACCTGTATTGTATATATATTTAAATGAATGTTTCTTTGAATAGACGGTACTTATCAATATTGGATGGATTTGGGTAGAAGCAGGGGTTGTGCATCCATGCATTATGCTCTATTTATAGCTATCTCCCCCCTAAAAATAAGGTTTCATTACATTTTCACATGCAGATTTGATTTTTTTCTCTTTAGCATGACTTGCATCCCATTGAAATAATTTTTGGAAATTAAAATAAAAGTAGGATTTGAATGCCAATTTCCACTTTACATTGTGGAATATTACTGACCACTGGAATCACCATCAGCACCTCTGATGCAGAATGTTTTTGGGAATGAGGAGCTGAATTTTACAGATAGAATCATATCATATTTGTTTGAACCACTGTCTCACAGGACAGAAACAAGACCTGCATAGACCTGCCCTGAAGGCATTTCTTTTGATTAGAAATGAAGAAATGTCAATGAGGGAAGGGTTTGCACTGCAAAATCCAATAGTCAACTTTATCAAATAAAATAAGTGTAGTTAACTCAATATTGACTGAAAGTTAATTCTACACATTTGAAAAGAGTTTTGAACTCAGTGTTGAAGGTAATGAGTTCATTAAATACCTCATTACTTTAACTTAAATGGAGTAAGTTCACAGTACTCATAGATTAGTTTAACTCAAATAGTTTGTAGCAGTCAGTTTCCTCAAAGGGTTTGAGTTGCCTTAACTTATTGGGTCTTACAGTACACAGTTGGTTTGAGTTCTCTTCATTTATTGGGTTTTACTGTGCTCAAATTGCTTCATTTACTCAAATGGATTAAGTTCACAGAACTCAGGATTAGTTTTTGAAATTAAATGGTTTGTTGCAATCGGTTTCCTCAAATGATTTGAGTTAATTTAACTTTTTGGGGTTTACAGTGTGGTATTATTACAGTGTGATTCTGTTATGCTTTGTTATCAGCGGCACTGGTGGATTTTATGTGAATTGAAGCCTGCAACTTATTCGTGAACACATACAGTACTGTGAACTAAAGCCATGTAAAACTGGCTATACAAGACTATAGATTCATTATTTTGGATGATAGAATGATATGTTATGGAACAGCTTTGGCAGTATCTTGAATATTGTTTGAATAATTTGTTCCTTAAATCAACCAAAGAGAGGCTCAAAGGAGCATGTATACACATAACAGTCTTTTGATTTTTCAGACTAAAAATATTTTTACAGACAACCTAAAAAGTTGGTTGGGTTTATCCAGTTTTATTACTGTTCACACACTGACAATAATACATTAAGCCCTTTTAAAGAACTCCCCTGGATTTATCTAAAGCCTATTTATGATCTAAATGAAAACTGACAGATTCTAATTGACAGACTGACTGATTGATTAATCAAATCAGAGGTGAGGAGAGGACAGGGAGAATGATCATATAAGCTTCTTTTAATTATTGATGTTTTCCAAAAATCACTACAGCCCAGGGTTTGGTGGGATCAGATCACTTTGCCACCCTAATAAAATAGGAGACATTCTGACAATACTGTACTATGACTTGACAGAGTTGCAAAATCTCCTTTATTTTTAAATAAATGTATCTTTTATTTAAATGAAAGAGAATATAGTTTTCCAAAACATTCTGAACATGCCGTTTCATGCCATATGCTGACCTCACATAGCCTACCCAGTTCATAAACTTACACAATACCTGGAGCATGGGGAAGCTTAGAATAATGACTATTTAATCTTCCAGAAACATTCTCTTTTGGGGAAAATTAAATTTTGGGTAATTTTAAGTTTAAGCGTTGACCACTGAAAATAATCCTACTGTCAACCACCTAGAAATGATAGTTGCAGCAGAGATTTTACAGTCTTATCAAAGCAATATGCAAACAAAAGAATTATACTTTAAATTGGTAGTTAAAAAATAATTAAATTAAAATCTGTAGAAAGAAACCCTGAGTACAAAATATAAGATGCAGATCAGTGTTTAATGAAAAACAAAAACATAAAACAATTGTTACTGAAATAAAACTGCAAAAAAAAAAAATTTGATATAAAAAAATTATATATATATATATATATATATATATATATATATATATATATATATATATATATATATATATAGGTGAAAAAATGAAGTAAAAGAAAAAAAACTAACTGAAATAAGTTTAAAGTCAATAATGAAAACTAATAATTTGACAGTTAAAAAATAGAAATTCTAAAATAAAGTGAATTCAAACTTTTAATAATCAAGACACCAGAAATACACACTAATAAAAATGATAATAAAAATAAGATTTCACTGATCCAAGTAAAAATGTCTTGGAATGACAAATCATCTACAGTAAACTGCTGTCCACCAGAACCACCGTTGGTGGGCTATAAGAGTTTTGCTGAACTACCTAACCATGAAAGCAAGCCAAGGTCATGGTTAAGGTGAGAGAACAAAGCAGAGATAATCAAAGTAAACAGCCAAAATAAACAAAACGTGCTTGAAGAAAGAGTGAGAGGGGAAAAACAAAACAAAGAGGAATCTGCTATCAATACTGATAGCAAGGAAAAGGGGAGAAAGAGAAAAGCAGCCAGTGTGTCCATCATGTGTTCAGGTATACATATACTAATTAAAGCAGAGTTGGGTAATGTGGTGAACTCAAAATATGCATTGCATTGCCACACACTTTAGAATCATGACTGAATCACGTTAAGAATCAATTCAGTCAAAGCCAAAATGGCTTATAATGGAAAAGATTCCCAGATGTGAACCGATTCATTCACGCTTCCTCTGAGACTCTGTGAAAGACCAGAGATCAGGGGTATCAGATCTATAGAGATGAACAGTTAATTCTGGTTAATTCTCTAGTAAATAATTCACCAATACACACAAATGCTGGCATATTAAAATCAACAACTGAGGAATGATTAGTTCATCTCTGTCATCCGGAAAAAGTTGAAAACATTGACAAACTCATACCACAACAAACTCTTGCTACAATTTGAAATAATGAAAGAGAAGCATCTTGACAGAAATTAATGAACAGAAATAAAGCTACAATGTATGACCTAAACTGTTTCAAGTAGCTGTAAGAGTTAAATAATAATAAATTAACTTTGTACCTATTTGTAAAGAAGATCTTGAATTTTTAACCAATTCCTGAACTAATCATCATAGGAGGTGAACTTGTCTTTTCTGTTTCCACCTCAGACTGCACAGCTCCAGCATATATGGAGCCGTCAGGTGAGAAACTAACAACTCATAACCTGAAGATTATAAAGATGAACTGATCATTTCTATTTTCTGTACAAAACCTATAAGAAGTTATTAAACGTATAGGTTTCTGAGATGACTCTTTCCTGAATTACATTAAAGATTTCTGAATGACATACAAGATTTGTTTTAAATGAATAAATTGTTTAATAACGATCCATCACTACAGATCTGCCCTCTCTGGTCCTCAACATGGGCATCAGTGGTAGCGGCTAATGGGCTGGTGTGGATGTCCAGTGTAGCAGTGTGGTCGACTACAGTCATGCCCTACTGTAGGGAACTGAATCAGAGTCTCACACGGGGGACGCAGTGGGAGATGACAGCATTTGTTGCAAGCGGTGCTTAGGCTGCAGGGCCTTCAGCAGGTTGAATCTGAGGAGAGAGATGAGACAGAGGCACAGAGCTGGGCTCTACTGCATTACCACCAAAAACTCCCACGGACACCACTGCTACATCTCTAGCAATGACAACCTTTGTTTATTTTCTGTACTCGGACAGAACAGTGGGTGTGGCTTCAACCAGAAATGTGCACAAATTAAGTTTTTCCACGATTTTAACGAATCATAACTATCCTAAAAGTTCCAGTTCTATTTCCACATGAGCCTGATACAAGACTTTTTTTTACACAGAATTCTAGGCACGGTAAGAAAGCCATGCCGACATCGTCACTCTCTTGCCTGTCTGCCAGTTATTTTCATTACACTTCTGTTAACAAGGCAATGACTGAAGCATTTGTATTGCATTCCAGAGAGCTCCATTTTCAACACCACAGTGGAAAATACAACTGCATCCTTGCTGACTGGCCCAGTTTGTCACGGAATGGAACAATTAAGCAAAGAAACCATTCAGCCCGATAGTGGAAAAGTGGTTAAAAAGTACTTTTTTTTTTTTTTGTATTTAGATGTAACTTACATGAACATATCATTATTTAAATTATAAAATGACTTTTTGTTGTAAATTAAGTTAAATGAGTGTTTTTTTATTTATTTATTTCCAATTAAGATATTGACCCAAATTCCTATGACATGATATAGTTAATGAAAGCCAGTCGGTATTAAAGTTTTTACATAAAACATACTTTTTCTTCTGTGATTAATATTTAAGGGCATCTATGGTAAAAAATCTACTTTTCAAGCTGTTTGGACAGACATATGTGTAGATCTAGTGTACAGACCATCATATTGGGGTGATATAAACACACACAGTCCTTGTTTTTTTTCAATTTACCAACATAAAAACGGTGGACCAATTGGAGCGGTTTTCAGACCGACCGCAACTTGACGTAGGAGTGTGGTCCCCCTGCCCACCTAATTGATTGACAGCTGCGCTTATTAACATGTCTCAGTAGTCATGTGTATAATCATATAAACAAGACCAGATGTGCGCAAAGCAACCTGGAATAAAAGGTCTGTTCAGTTTCCTAGGATCATCAATCATCATCAAATGTGATCAAGTGTAAGTTTTACATGTTTAAAATGTTTTAAAACAGAGCATGTGTGTAATGAATTACAGCGATTCACTTCAGCTTTACTTCATCAGCACAGCCGTGTGTCAGAACAATTATAAAAGAAGACGCTTCAATCCCGGTTTGTGGACAATAAATTAGGTTTATTTTCTACATTAACATAACAGATATCCATACAGCAGTGGAGATTAACCTGTATAACGCATGCATGCAAAAAGAGTGCAAAGCTAAACGCGTCTGTCTGTGAGGGTATGTGTGTGTGTGCGTACGTGAATTTTGTATCGACAATGTGTGTGTGACTCAATGATGTAACTGCACTACAAATACTCATTGATAAAGTTCTTACTGTGGTATTTCTCACAAACGCTACGTGAGACCTTCTTCCTTTAAGTCTGTCTGTTGTCTGACGTAGGCGAGGGAGGAGAGGCATGCAGAAAGGCACGTAGAAATGGTAGGCGGGGAGGACTAGCCTTAAAGGCGCAGTACGACAAAACAGCCCCCTAGTGCAAAAATGTATAAAATAGAATCTTGTAAAAGGTATAATGAAAAATCTGATGAGTGTTTTGAGCTTTACAGACACGTTCTGGAGACGCAAAACACTTATATTAAATCTGAAAAAGGGGTAACCTAGGTGCCCTTATCAAAATCAAAAAGCGAGAGTAAAGACATCTGCAAAATTACAAATTATTACCTGGTCAAATTAATGGTTTTATTGACTAATAATTTATTTATGAACATTTTTATTGACCTTTGCAATAAAGCCAATTTTTTAGTTTTAATTATTGATAAATTATATCCTTAAGAGTCCCTACTAAATATATTTTATTTTCCGACAAATTCAGTTTTTTTATTTCTTTATATTTTTTATATATTTTATTTATATTATATTTTATTTATCTTATTAAACAATTTTTAATAAAACAATTTTTATATTCCATATTTTTCACTGTTACATTATCTGTACTTTATTTTATTAATTATGAATGAGACTTTAGCGTACATTTGTGCTTTCGATCCTATTCAGATGTGCAAGTAAATCTTTTGAACTGGCAGTTTTATACAACCTGTAAGTTGTGGGTGAACAAAACCTGACAGCAAATAGAAGAAGAAAGAAATGGAAACAGTTAAACAGCTGATGTGTTAATGATAGCAGCGGAAGTGAAAGAGACAGAGGTTTATTTAAGCATCTGAAGCTCGAAAGGTCATTAAACTGCAGCAGATAAAAAATGTGATTAAAAGTTAAACAGCAGTAGATATTAAGGGTTAGATATTACAGCAAAGCACCAACACAGCTGCAAGTCTGAAAGAATGTCTGTTAGAGAGATGATTAACTGAGAGACAAAACACTTACTTGCGTGATCCAGAACCAGATCTTTTATTTGAAGGCGAAGACATGGAGTCAGCAGTCGTCTACGCTCCTTCTCCTTCTTCAGCTGGATCTGTCTTCTTCCTCTTCCTCTCTGTCAACACAGCAGGAAATGCTCAGCTGCAGCCAGACTGAACAAAACACACAAACACAGGCAATTTTCTGTTTTATTGTTGTAATGGTGTAAATACATAAAATAAAAGTCTAAGTCAAAAATATGTTTTCAGTTTCACACTCAAAAAGATCATTAGATAGTAGTAGTAGTATTAGATAGTTTCTGCAGGTTTCACCCAGTCAAATTTAAGACTTTTTAAGATCTTTTTAAGACCATCAAGAAAAAAATGTAGATTTAGGGCTTAATGCTAAGGATTTTTTAAATGGTCCAGCAGAATTTGTTTTAACTTTCCCCATCAAAAAATTCTTATTAGCTCTTTCTTAGCCACATATTTAAAATAATGTGTCAAAACAAGCAGACCCTAGTTGTATACATACCAACTTAAAAAACACTTTAAAAATAAAAACTTAAACTAAATGTCTGCACAACAAACTGTTATAGTATCATTTATAAATAGAGTTTTGCTGAAAGTTTTAATGAGATGTATTGTTGGTAATTGGATATATGTTGAATGGATTGAGTAGCTTTACATAAACAAATCAAAATTAAGACTTAAAAGACAATATTTCTGTGGACTGAAGACTTTTTAATGTCTAAAATTTACTTTTTTTTTCATTTTCCATTTTAAGACTTTTTAAGACTCCGCGGATACTCTGATTTAAATTAATTGTTTTCATAACATTGACTATTACCTGAGGCTTATTGCCTGCCTATTATTAGGATATTGGCTGTTTATTTGTACTTGGTAAGTAAGTACATATTCTATATCAGGGATGCCCAAACTTTTTCTTTCAAAGGGCCAAAAACCCATCTTGATTGAGGGCTGTGGGCCAAGTGAAATATACCAAACCGTATTACATTAAATTTGCCATGGGTAATTTCTAATTTCATTTATTCATTTTCTTGTCGGCTTAGTCCCTTTATTAATCTGGGGTCGCCACAGCAGAATGAACTGCCAACTTATCCAGCAAATTTTTACACAGCAGATGCCCTTGCAGCCACAACCCATCTCTGGAAAACATCCACACACATTCACACACACACTCATACACTACAGACAGTTTAGCCTACTGTCTTTAGCCTACCCAATTCACCTGTACTGCATGTCTTTGGACTGTGGAGGAAACCGGAGCACCCGGAGGAAACCCACGCGAACACAGGGAGAACATGCAAACTCCACACAGAAACGCCAACTGAGCCGAGACTTGAACCAGTGACCTTCTTGCTGTGAGGTGACAGCACTACCTACTGCACCACAGCTTCGCCCTAATTTTTAATTTATTTGCTCATATTTAAAAACAACCTAAAAATGTTGCTTTAAAACATATTCATTATTGATGCAGTATCATTTTTACCGTTTTATAATAACCCTATTAAAGTAAAAACATAAACAATCCCATTTATAACACCTTAGAGTTCAATGCTAAATATAGTCGAGCTGCTTCTGCCTTTAGCTTCATTTGCTTGCCGATGTTTTGTGCATTGCCCTCTATCTGTCAACTGACTGTATTTCCATTTTAAAAGTATTTACAACATTTAATTGAAACAACATTCAGTTAAACAAAGAACCTAAAAGTAACATTAAATTTAAAATAATGATCTCTGTCAAAGGGGTTCGACCCAACCAACTTCCCAACATTCTCCCTCTCTTTTCTGATGGGATGGTGAGCCAAACTAAAGGTTACCTATTTTGGCCCTACTTTGGAACCTCTGTTCTATATGATCTTATTCAACATCCCAAATCTGAACGAATATTTATATCATAACTATTAATTAGCAACAAATTAAGAGTTTATTATTGTGAAACAATGCTAAAATGTGTTACAAAAATCATATTTACTATAACAAATTACACCATATATTTATATTTTAAATATATCTAATTATTTTTAACCAGTGTATTTTTCTGATCAATTATACACAAGTGTTTGGCTTTAAAATGAATTAATTTTGTTATTTTGTTTGTGAAATTGTTGTTTTGTATTTACATTGTATGCTGTACATTAGCATTAGTACAATTGACCAAAGGATAAGCTATTTGCAACGATTTTTTGTCAATAACAGCTTTCTAAACAACAACAATAAAACAAAACTTTCAAAGTTTTAACCAAAAATAAAAATGATATCATCATTTACAGACACTCCATGTTGATTCTAACCTGAATTACTTTCTACACGCTGGAAATAAAGGAATCCATAAAAAACTTACGAATAATACTTTGTTTTGGTGAACTTTCCTGTTATGGCAACCTCTAAATGTTTGCACATACTCTCATTTTTATTAAGTGAGGCCAATCAAGCCTAAAAGTTGTCCATTTGCTCTAATCTGTCTGACCTCTCCACACTCAGCAGAGCTGGATGCAGCACTGCTTGCGGAGCTGTAATATATCTAACATTGTGCTGACACGGACTAGCTGATCTCTGAGTCTGCGCTGGTGTGAAGCCAGACAACAGACATAACAGAGCGCTAACTTTCACAGTCAGACTGCTCACTGAAATTAAGATCTGCCTAAAGCATTTTCATTTTCCTCATGCAGCTATTAAATTTGAAAGATACAGGCAAATGAGCAAAGGAGAAAGGGAAGGGCAAAAGCAGTGTTTTCTGCAGTAGTGGGGACCCTGAGACACATGATGAGAGGAAGAGGGATTAATGAGCTAAATAATTAAAAAGGAACTGGCACAGCTAAGTGTTAGAGGCAATATGCAACCCACAATATGCAACTCGATGAGAAGATCTTTCAAAACTGCACTGACTCTCCATGTTATTATTGTCATTCTAAACAGTACTTTTAATCCCAGTTTAAGACTGATTCCAAATACGTGCCTCAGCCTAAATGTTTCTGAATCTGCAAAAATGTACTTAATGTACATTTGACTGCAGTTTCTAGGTGAAATAAACACTACAGGCAGGATGACACCAACAACTTTTGTTTCTTTTCATGCTAAAATTAATTGCAGGGCCATATTATCAACAAATAAATCACTATTTTCAGCAAATAAATACCACAAATACACTTATTGTGTCTATGATTTTTAATCGAATACATTTACCTGACCTATCTATCTCCAAATGGACATTAGATTAGATTCGACTTTATTGTCATTACACACGTATACTGTAAGTACAAGGCAACGTAATGTAATTTTGGTCTAACCAGGAGTGCAATAGCAGCAAGTGCAGGATATAGGTATTAGTTATAAAGTACAAATATAGAAAAAGTATGTGTAATATTTACAGATGAATGTACTATGAACATTATATTCAGGTTGTATTAGCTATGAACAGAGATTAACAATAGATGAAAGTATGTACAGATTGCTTTTAATATTTATGAAGTATGTAGAAGTATGCAGCTATATATGAACATAATTACAAATGTATATGTACAGTAGGTGTGTACAATTCAAAATGACAACTTTGTCAGTTTCCTCGGTTGCTCACTTTGTACTTTGATAGTGGTTTCCAATGAGCCTGGGCTGAACCTTTTACACTTTAGAAGTCACTTTATTTCAGTGAAAAGAACCATTTTTACTGTGTGAAAAACAATTTTACCATAAGAACTATTTTTCTTTGTAAATAACCTTGTCTAGAATAAAACATTTCCAAGGAAGATTCTTCATGATGGAACCATAATTGGCAATAAAATGTTATATATATATAAGTGTACAGTAGGAGCTGACAGCCAATCATGTATTTAATTTTTAAGTGCTTTGGACAGTCAAGGACACATCACACATTGTATATAAACAGTTGTTTCAGAATTTGAAGAGAAAAATAATACAAGAGACTATTCCATTGTTATCATGATACTGATGAACTCCGAGGATTAAAGGGATCATAAACTCAGACATGCCTTGACTTTTTGAGGTCATTTGACTATCTGCTTGTTAAGTGGGATATCATGCGAAACCGGCCTCCGGGTCCAAGTGCTAGGGTTGTGCGATTTGGGGGAAAATAACAAATTGCAATTTTATTGACAGATATTGCGATTGTGACTTGATTTGCAATTTAATTTTGTAGTCAATAATTAGCTCAATAATCTGTATAGTAGATTCTTGCTGCCAAAAGGCAGTGAGTGTTAGTTAAAAAAAGAAACCGAAAAGATATTAACTTACTCTAAGATTTATTCAAATTAGTTTTTAAATATTCATTTTTCTTTAGAGCTTTTTTTAAAGTCTAATAACAAATGGCCAGAAAGTGACTGTTTTAATAAATTGGTAAAGTATTTTTGAGTGTGATGCAGCTGTTATGTACACATGATTTTACATAAAATTCACTTTATTGTGATATGACTAAAAAGTGGTCATAAACTAATGTTTTCCCAATTTAAATGAGAGGCAGCTTGGACCTGGAAACAGTATTTCATACTTTACGCCAACTTCAAACGTCAACTTAACAAGCGGATAAACAAAACCATTCTCAAAACATTTTGTTGGTGAAACATGCATTCAGAAGTTTACATTAGTAGGTGTTTACTTCCAAGTCGAGAATCCACCACAACTATTCCGAGATCAAAACTGAATATAAAATAACCAATTCCATGTAAACTATGATGCTTTTGATGTTAAAATCTTGCTAAGATCGTAAGCGGACCCCAGAGAAGAGTACAAAATGAATAATAAACACAGCAGGCCATGATACCTTGTAATTGTTAATTAATCAGGGTTTAAAATGACTAAAGGTTAATAAGCATAAAAAGCGAAAGCACTTCAAAAATGAACAAGACAGAACAGTATTGTTGTTATTAAGCAATACTAAAACTAATTACACCACTATGTGGCAAATGACCTAAAACAAAAACTGTTCTGAAGTAGCATTTAGTTGAAGTGCTACAATATCTAAAACTCAAATAAAATAATTGATTTATTTAAAGGGTGAGAACATCATGAAACTATCTCCCAAATTGAGAACTAATATTTTCAGATTTGTCCATGAACAGAAAAGCAAGATTTATTTATCAACCACTACAGTTTCACACTCAAGCTTTAGAATAGCACAGAAACGGAGACCTTGTTTGGAGGGGCAGAAAATGCACAAGAGCTGAGTCAGTACCGGGACAGTGTGCTGTTCTCTCCCTCTGACGCAGTGCGAGTCATAATGTAGAGCGCAGCTGCGGGATCTGTCCTGCATGTCCTGATTCAACTTTACACGAAACCTCAATCTCTCTAGCAGTCTATCTGTCATCATCTTACTGTTACTGTATATTGAGATGATTAATTGCATAACAATTCCTAATGACGTTTTGACTATAACTTTGACTATTCATGTGTGAATGAAGCCTTACATACTTAAATACAACCCTAACATGTTATTTGCTCAGATTATGAACAACTTTCATATGGCAGAATCAAAACAATGTATTATAAGCAGCTTTCTAATTCAGTGTGATGCAGAAATGTGCTGTGTCATGCACCTGCTGTCATCAGCACTGACTGACCTCTGCCTGCTGGTGCCTTAGATGTGCCCAAAGCTGCAGATGAGCGATTATAACAACCCAGCACTTTTCTTCTCTCTCGCAGGCCACATTCAAGCTATATCACAGCAGAAAATGCTGATCCACATACAGGGCTGCACAATACTGAAGAAATACTGATCTGATTAAACTTAATTTGAAGTCCACAATTAATCAAAATAAATCAAAATAAAAAGTGTAACAAATGGTAATAGAACAAAATTACATATATGTCAAAATATTAAACACTGAAAAATATCAAATATGACATAATAGGGGTGTTATGATCATCAGCGATCTAATCCTGAAAAATCGCTGGTAAAAACACATATTGCTAAAAATCCGCTGTTACATGGACTACAGATCCAGATCGTACTCTGTTGTCAGCATCCCCGTTCACATTACAGAAGACTCAGCCCTGATGTGTTTGTGTATGTGTGCGCTGTATCAATAGTCCATGTAAGCAGTGTTTGACAATCCTCCGGCTGTGTGTTTGCAATCAGTCAGGATCAGGAACCGGTGTGAGTGTGTGTGGTGCATGACTGGAACTTGTAGTCCATGTATGGAAGATTTGTAGTCCGTTATGATCTGCGCTTAATTCAGCAATCTGCAGCTGCTAGATCGCTGGTGATAATAACAAGGCACTTCACAGATCACATCACAGCTATAACAGCACAAAGAAACTATATAGTTGGAATCAGAATGATTCTTTTTAGCTTCAGAATTTAAAACAGCAGTTGACAAAACAACAGCATGCAGTTATAATCAATTGTGCAATAGAAAATAATGGTTATAGATCAAATGGTTTGAGGAAACCAATTGTGGCGAACTAATTTAGATGGCAAACTTTATTCATTTGAGTTCATTCAACTTGAACCGTTTATGGCAATCAGTTTTCTCAAACCATTTAAGTTGCTATATATTTGATAGGACTTAATTCATTCAATTAACTAAACTGCTACAGATCTGATAACAGAACTTAAAATGTTTACTCATAATCTTAATGTTTTTTTATGTAAACTCAAATATTATTAGTGTGTATGACAATATATATAGAGATTTAAAGTACACAAACCATTTGGTTTCAAAACTTAAACTGTTTGCTGCAATCAGTTTCCCTAAATGGTTTGAATTAACTTATCGGGTTTTACAGTGCAGTTTTCTTTATAATTATTATTCTTGATATGGGTGGTAATGGACGTGTATAAACAAAACCCTACTGTAAGTTAAAGTTCCACTAGGCAATATTTGAAAAGAACTTCTGACCATAGTGTCAACTTGAAAAAGCTTGCAGCCACTTAGCAGAAAGGGACGTTTCTAAAAATGATTGCAGATATATTTAAAAGTGGCGAGGTCTTGTTAGATTGCTTTGGTACTTTCAAACATCAATATTGTTTTGCAAAATACCATTGAAGTCAAAATGATTAAACCCCCTGAATTATTAGCATTATTAGAAATATTAGTGGTTATTTTTACCCCCAGTTTCTGTTTAACGGAATGAAAATATTTTCAACACATTTCTAAACAATAGTTTTAATACCTTATATCTAATAACTGATTTATTTTATCTGTGCCATGATGACAGTAAATAAAATTTGACTAGATATTTTTCAATACATGTTTATACAGCTTAAAGTGACATTTAAAGGCGTAACTAGGTTAATTAGGTTAACTAGGCAGGTTAGGGTAATTGTTCTGTAGACTATAGAAAAATATATAGCCTAAAGAGGCTAATAATATTGACCTTAAAATGCTTTAAAAAATTAAAACTGCTTTTTTTCTAGCCAAAATAAAACAAATAAGACTTTCTCCGGAAGAAAAAAATTATCAGACAAACTATGAAAATTTCCTTGCTCTGTTAAACATCATTTGGGAAATATTTTTAAAGAAAAAAGTTCAAAGGGGAGCTAAAAGGGGAGCTAATAACTCTGTTTTCAACTGTTTAGTGTACCTTTAACAGTCTTGCATTAAAAGATCTGTACGAAGAGTCACCATTTATTTTTTTTGTAACTAACTATTCTTGTATAGTACCACCCACATGAGTAAGTCTGTCATACTGTATGGCTTGCCTCATTATATGGGAGCAGACTAAAATGAATTTTATGAAGATAGGTCATTTATCAGACTTCTGGAGGGTCCTGGAAGAGAAGTGATCACTCTATCAATGGATTGAATGGAGCTCAAAGCATCCAGTGTGGATGAATGAATGCGGCAGAGCAGTAAAACATGAGCTCTGAAGTGAATAAACAACACAGAAGCATGTCATGTCACAAAGAACTACTTCAGTAATCAATACAATTAGCTTTATAGGAGCTATAAAAAGCAGCAATCAATAATAGAACAGAGCAGAAGCAATTACAAATAGTATGAAATGCATGGTGAAATAATAAAAACGGTATTGAAGTGTGTTTTATGGGAAAATACTATTTCATTCTTTTGGTTACAAACTTTTAGCTTTAAATCCAAGCTACGTACAAGTTTTTGTAATTATTTGTAAACTTTAGCAAATTCTGATTGAACATGATTTGAATGTATTTAATAAAAGTAAAATCAGGTAAGGCGACGCGGTAGCGCAGTGGGTAGCCAGCAAGAAGGTCCCTGGTTAAAGCCTCGGCTCAGTCAGTTGGCATTTCTGTGCTGAGTTTGCATGTTCTTCCTGGGTTTGCGTGGCACCGGGTGCTTTAGTTTAATAATAAAGGGACTACGCTGAAAATAAAATAAAAGAATTAATTCAAGTGAAACACTTCCTGATTTTTTGTCATTGTTATTCTTTTAATTTGAAAAACAAGAATTGAACAGCTACATAATGTCGTTTCATTCTAAATTAATTACATTTATTCAGACATAATTGAATAAGGCTGTTATTTTAATTGTTCTATATTTGTATGCTATACTTTATTTAATTTTTTTAACTTTATTTCGTTTTTATTAATATTTTTGAGTTAATTGTTTTGATATTTTCTAGTTCAATGTTAGTTTAAAATGACTCCTTTTTAATTGTTTGAATAATAATAATAGTCAAAATGATATGTAATATTCTGATAACAGTAATAGTCATTTTTATTTCAGTGCTGCTTTTATTTCTGCTAGCAAATTTACTAATTCAGCATAAATGCCTTTCCATTTATTGCTGTTGTTCATCATTTAATTAGTTACATATTTAATTTCTATTTTTCCTTTAAAGTATTTATTGTAATATTTTTATTTTATTTGAGAAAAATAGTTTTAACATTAATGTGAGCATTTTCTTAATAATTTTAGCTAACGAAAACAACACTAAAAATAAATCACACATATTTGTGAATGATACAGAGCTTTCATCATGTTCAATGTTGATGAATAACATAAATAAGAACAACAGCAAAAAGAATCAATACTGTAGAAATCACTTTTAGAATGATTTTTCCAGATGCTGAACAATAGGAAACTATTGTCAATCTGAGTCCATGCTGCTTTAAAGAGCTCAAGCGTTTCAAATGCCAGACAACAAAACTGCTGACAGATACTGACAGATGATTGAGCTTAAGTGTGGCACTTCACCTGTATTTACCCTACAGACTGAAATACAATATGTGTGCTCTTTGTAGCTGCAGCACATTTGGCTGAAAGCAACGTGGTGAGGTTTGTAAGATTTGTTTGCATGCTGAGAGGATGTAGATCCGGTCTCCATAGAGACAGCCATTCAGTCACTATACCAGAGAGAAGCTCCACAAGTGTGATTGACTACTGTGTGTGTGTGTGTGTGTGTGTGTGTGTGTGTGTGGTGAGACAGACAGACGGGACAGCATAATGACACTACACAACCAAGAGGCAAAGAGGTTCAGTGGCTAGTCTACATGCAACAAATGCAATCCTGTGCAAGGAAGAGGGTGATAATTATTGCAGCACCACAGAAAGAGAAAGAGTAAAAAGATAACAGTAATGACACAGTTTAATCTGCTGCTTTAATATGTTTCCAATTCTGTACCCTTACTCAAATGTGATAAAGACTACAGATGATGATCTTTCTAGATCCTCACAAATCCACTTTCGAGCACATTCTCTCTGCAATATGCAAGTCCTTAAAGGGATGCAAGGTCATGCTGCACCCTAGGCCGTGCAACTACAGTTTCCCTGTCACGACTCACAGAGTACGGGACGTACTGAAACTAAATTGACACTTAAAGCATATCTTGTAGTTAAGGAATAGCAGATTTTAAGTTATGGAAACTTAGTGTTGGATTGGAATGAAATGAACGCGGGAAACCAAAACAAATGCAAGATGCAGACGCGTGTTCGCTGCCAGAAACATCTGCTGTGCGCGCGCGCACCAAAACATCGAACGCCTATGTGTCTCAACGCATGCTTCAAATACACACGATTTAAGATGAGAATGTATCATACTGGTCTGCCTGGTAAATCCAAATACCATAAAAGCAATGTATCTGCCGCGTTACAGTCCTTGTTGTGTCCTACACGCAGGAAATGCAAAAGGAGTCCTTCGCTACAGAGATGCATCATGTTTTGCACGCCATATTGCAAAGCAAAGCATTTGACATTTACCTGGTTGCAGCCTTCCAGCGAGAATCAGCTTGTCTTCATGTAAACAGCGGTGTTTTGTCGTGTTTACCCGGGTGCTCGTCCCCGTCAAGGACTCCACCACAGCGGTGCTCCGCTGCTCGCGAGCGCGAGTCGACGGGGCGGAGCTGCAGATGATGATAATGATGATGATTCTGGCGCGAGAGCTCTGTTTGACAGCTTGCTTGAGGGAGGACGAGCATCGAGATGAAAGCAGATACGTAATATTACGACAGTCTACTTAAAGGGAACCACACTATCACTTGGAGTTTGGAAAAAATATATTTAAAAAGGTGATGTGTATGGGATCGTTTAATGCAACAGAACAGAAAGCACACAAAGGTAACTGTGACTTTCAAATCTCACAATTCAGAGTTCATATTTGCGATATATACATACATCCCTAAACTCTTTTTTTAAATGTGATAAAAAGCAGTTACATCTCAGAGTCAGATATGCAACATTTTCCCTCTTAGCCTTTGCGACTCTTTCTCACAGTTAAGAGAAAGGAGAAAACGTCCACATGCTAAGTTTTTAGATTTGCAAGTTAGCATTTCGAAACTTCAAGAACAAACGTCCCAGTTCTAGAAAAAAAGAGAACACAGATGTTAATTAGACTAATCAAAAGCGCATAGATAGATATGAGATTTCTAAATATGTAAATATACAAATCTAAACTATTACATAAAATAATAATAAATTTTCTCGAAAATAAATATCCTGCTGTGTTTCAAATGTAAATTTTTCAGTCTGTTTAGTGTTCTCACTTCAAATCGCTCATTGTAACTCTAAAAAGGGCTACTGGCAACCCTTCTCAGTTTTTAAAATTAGTATATGATAAGCTAATTTCACTTAAGTGATACAAAAGAAATACATTTGAAACTGATAAATTTGACAATTGAAATAGATGGAAACACACAAAGTTAAGCAGAATGATTAACTCTTAAAATCTAGTATAAACAAGCACTGATTTTTAGGCATGGTATTTCCATCAGACTCTAACTTGCTTCTGGTCTGTGTAAAATAGCAAATATCGGACAGTGTTCGGTCATCAGAGTAACCGGAGAAATATAATCCCCGAGAGAGTCGCTCTTCAGCACCACGGACAGCGCTCTAGGCCTACACTGCTTCATTCATTGTGTTAAAAGGCCTCACAATTTAATCAAACGCACAAATCTACAATTTACTGACAAAAAGCGTTTTCTTTTTAAAAATGTGATAAACACTTAACTTTTAAAAAACAAATCTCTCAGAAATATGCTTTGTCCACATAATTTAATAACAGCCTTTTAAGGTGTTCACACTTAGATAGGGTCTCTTTCAAACAAATAAGACTTTTTTCAAATGACTTAAAAGAATTGTTAAAACAAAGCACAGTATATAATAATTACTTTAAAAAAATATTTTTATTGCTGTTATTATTTTTATCTTACAGAGCTGGCCTTATGCAACCAAGGATAGCATCATAATTACATTTAAATCGGTTGTAATTAAAGATGGATTTGTTAAAATGTTTAGTGCATTTAGTGAATAATTAAGCCCAATGATTTTTTCGATTTTCTGTGAAAGAATCTTTCAATATGATTCTTTGTCAGAGAAATGAAGAATACTCTCTCTCTCTCTCTCTCTCTCTCTCTCTCTCTCTCTCTCTCTCTCTCTCTCTCTCTCTCTCTCAAATTCAAATTCAAAGAGCTTTATTGGCATGACTGTAAAACAAATTACAATGTTGCCAAAGCAATAACACAACACAAAACATTCATATAGATAAAAAATATAAGTAATAATAAACAAACACATGTTATATTATACATATATGTTGTCACAATAAACAAGTTAATTAAAAAAAAAGATTAACAAAAATATATAATAATAAATGATACCTACAGAGAGCCTTAATAAGAGATAAGGGGGTTCAGCCTTTTTCTCTCATATGGTAACATGAGGACACGTACTGTGCTGCTAGGTAAAGACAATTATTCTCTCTCTCACACACACACAAAACATTTTTATCTCTTTTCTTTAAAGTATACACTTTTTGTTATGTTGTTTATAAGTGTAATTTGTGACTACAAATTTGAAGATTTAATGTGCTATTAGACTCTCATGTGCATTTCATATATAGATGTTTCAACCCCGAATGCATAAAACATATAAACTTGTAAATATGAACAGACATTTTTTTTTGGCTGCATTTCTTTATTTTCCCAAGGTATTTGTATTGTTTTCTCCTTGATTTGTGACTCAATTGCAAATCAATTCTATTTTTAATACTCAGTAATGTGTAGTTTGTTAGTCTATATCAGGTGAATGCCTTCAGTATACTGTAACATCTGCATGCTTTATGTCAGTATAACAGGCTTCTTTTTTCAAAAATGTTTTTGACAATCATTGCTCTTTGTACTAAAATGCAACACAGCTGGACTCAGCATTCATTCCTGCATGCTGAGATTGTAATATTTGTGTATGTAAAAGTGGCCTGTTCACTGTCACAGGGAAAGTGCCAAAAAGGTTTTGATTAGGGACTCTGAAAGGCAAGAAAGGTTTAAACTTTTAAACACTTTTATTTTTTGTTTTTCTTGAAAAAATGCTGAATTCGAATCAGTCATTTAATATAAATGAGTGCTACTTCATGATAAACACTCTTTGCTCTTCTGTTTTTGCATGTTAAGTGCCATATCCTTGTGCCTTGGCTGTACAATAGCAGTGTATGTATAATTTTAATGCCAATATATGAAATTAAACAAAGCTCCCAGTCTAGTTTAACTACTGTATTTGAATTCTGTTTCTGCTCCATTATAACACACCAAATGTTTTACAATGGGCAAAAAAATGTCATCCTGCAGGAAAAGACAGCCTGTATAGACTGCACACTGGAGCTTTCAATCCTCTTATAAGCATTTAGGTTTTTAAAACACCAATTCCTTTAATCCCCTGAATTAATAATGACCACACAATAGAAGAGTTCCTTTTCAAAAATAGATTACTCGGTTTATATACATTTTCATGAAGCATGTTTTTTTAGTGTGCACTAAAGTTAAACTTTAGTTATAAAAACGCTAAATAATCAAAAGTTATTATTTATAAAACTATATAATAGTTATAAAATATGTCATGTTAATAGTAACATAAATAGTGAACATTGTTTATGCAGTGGTTTCTGTTTATACATTCTCTATTAAAAATATTCAGAGGACCACTCAAGTGACCACTCAAGTGATTCTTTTGCATATGAAATAGTAGCTTTTGTGCACTTCCCACTTTACCTTATTGTAATCTTGTGCGGTTTGGTGTTTTACGAACTTACATTTTTATTTTTATTTGCATTACTGAAAATACTGTATTATATCAACAAAAGATGCACGTGTTTTATAGTTTTTTTGCCCGTCGTCATCCTTATTTTAAAGGTCAAATGAGGTTGTCTTGTAACATACTACCATGAGCAGCAGATGGCAGCAGATGGCAGCCAATATAACAAATATATCAGCGCAGCGTTTTTATCTCAGTGGGCAACACAGACATTAAAACATTTATCACCGTTTCTGTGATATAGTAGTTTATTCAGTTTTACATTCTACTGTTGTTACATTCTACTGTTGTTGCTACTATTCCGGTCTATACAAGTGACTTTTTGTCAACGTAAACAAACTGAGATGAGATTTTTCTTTAAAATAGCATCTTATCTTAGAATCTTTTTATTTTAAGGTTCAGAAATCATGCATAAAATACAGAGGTTCATTTGCTCTTTACTTCAGTGAATTTTGCACAGTAGTCCCATCAAGTAGTTTTGTGTTTAAAAGACATCAAATAGATATCTAAACATAAACTACTTGGCTAAAACAAGGCTAAGTTTGGGTTGTCAGTGAAAAGCTAACAGTCGCGTAACAATAGTCCAAAAATAGCCATGTTTGATCATTCATTCTTGTCTATTGATAACTAATCTATTTCCTTTTACATTTAGTCATTTAGCAGAGGCTTTAGTTCAAAGTGACTTACAGTTAAAGAGACATTCAGTGATTCAACAAGAAGAGGCAATAACACAAGAAGTGCTAGTCATACAAAGTAACTTATTTATGCTCAGAGAACATAGTGTTAGAGTAAGAGTGCTGGGTTTATTTGAAGGAGAGAAAGAGAGAGAGAGAGAGAGAGAGAGAGAGAGACTTTTGACTTTTAAAAATTTTTTTTTACAGTATATACAATTAAAAATTTCATTCATTATTATTTCATTCATAAAACCAAAATTTTATCTTATTTCCATTTAAAAAAAAAAAAAGTTATTATTGTCTTCCACAAATACAAATTCCTTGTTAATGCACCATTTTTTTTTCAAAACTCAATTCGTCACTGTTCATTCGATAATATTCATATTCTAAACGAATTCTTGATTCTACAAAAGCTTTAAACAAAATAATTACAATAACTTTCTGATCTTCCAAGTCAGCTCTGTATGCCTTCCAGATAGCTAATTTTGCCTGGCAAGTTGGAAGTTGGAAAAAGTAACCTGCTAAAAATCCTCTTAAACATATTAAAAAGTGGCAATAATTTATGACATACATAAAAAACATGAAAAACTTCATCAAGTTTTACACACAGGATAGAAAGAAGAATCTGAAAAATTGCATTTAAACAAAAACGCTCTTGTTGGCAAAGGACAGTGCAAAATTCGCTATTGTAAATCACCAGACCTTTTGGAAGAGGGTTTTTTTTTATAGTAAACACCAAGAAGGCGAATTAATTCCAGATTCAGACAACAAAGATCTCCATTTTGTATCTCTCCTTGCTTTTAACCTTCTGATAAAGAATAACTTTCCACAAATATTATATAAAACTCGCTTATTTGTTATAGAAAAAGGAAGACTTTTACATTTTTAAAAGATAGAAGCAAGTTTACATCATCATCATTATTATTTTCAAACTGTTCTATTCATGGCGTTCCATGCGTTTCTGGAAAAAAGACTTCCGTGAAGTTATTTAACATGGATTCTGATATATAATCTGATAAGGATAGAGGAAAGAAGTTTTTACATTTTTCATAATATTTCCCACTATTCTTTTCTGATCTACTTCTAACTTTTCTAGTGATTTCCTGTGCTGAACACCACTTTCTTTCTAAAAAATTAAACAGATTTCCAACTCTAGTTATTTCTGTGGAAGCAAAGTTGTCAATATCTTTCTTTGACATGCTGATCTTTTTCTGCAACCATGGATTATGAAAAAGTGGTTCATTAAGCCCCAAATGTGTCCTTTGCTCTAATTTTAAAAAGCTCCAAGATTTGAACACAGATCCGTAAAACTTTATATTGGTCTTTTCTTTCAAACTATTTTCTGAAATTCAAAACATTTGTTTATCAAACCCCATGTTTTTTTTTCTCGTAAAATTTCAAGAGCGAGACTGACCCATGGTATTGAGCTCGAAGAATAAAGCAGTTTGTAGGAAGTCTGTAGTCTCATTGTATTAACTTTGGAGACTAAATGGATTAAACCATG